TGGAATCCAATCCGAAGAAGATTGGAGGTTTCTTTGTCTAAAGTAATAGAACAGTTCATGTTGATGTCTATGTAAAGACGTATGGCAGCATGCAACGATAATCTATATATAGAATAATGCGCGTAGATCAAAATGTTTCCGAAATAGTGCAGCATGCGACGATGATCATAGGTCAAAATGGCAGGGACGGGTGGAGCTGCTTGCACAGGGTGAGATAGGTGAGGTAGAGCAGTCGGTCCTTGGCCCCCGTGCGATGGTTCTCGGTGTGCTTGCAGAAGTACTTGAGCCGCCGGAGGTTGCAGCAGCCCAGCGTCTGACCCAGCAGCATGAACAACCAGTTGATGTCGCGCTTCTTCGCGGCCACGATCGGCTGCATGCAGTTCGGCAGCCCGCAGGCCTCGCAGTGCGGGAACGTCGGATGCATCCACGACGGCGGCGCTCGGTCGTGCATGAGGTGCTTCCGCGCCATGATGAAGCCTGCAACCTCCTCGAACTTGGCCTCCAAGTCGTACCTGATCACCCGGCTCACCTTGCAGTGCTTGCACTGCGTCTCGCCGTGGATCTCCGCGATGCCGATGGCGCGCAGGTGGCTGAGCGTGTGAACGGTAGCGCGGCGAGGGGTGGCCCAAGGGAAGGGAGGAGGTATGATGCTGGTCTTGCCGCGTCCCTTCGGTGCCGGCGCTGGTCGTGTACGTCCAAACGACTGAACAGGAGCAGGCGAGGCGGGAGCGATGGAGAAGGGACAGGGCAAGGAGGAAGACTCGCCAAGTGCAAGGGTAAGTTTACAGATGGGATCCTCTACATCCGCATGGCTCTCTGGCTTCTCCACCCCTCCGGCTTCCATGGCTGGTGCAGATCAGAAAGAGACGGTCCAGAGAGGGAGAGGGAGAGGGAGAGTTAGGGTTAGGGTTGATGAATACAGAGGGACAAGGAATCCAATTAGGTGATAATGCCACTAAATATTAAGCACAGAATTGGAGGATTTGTGTTACTAATAAAGATCAATTAGTGGTATAGACACCAATTGCTTTGGATTCTGAGCTCCGTTTGTACAACAACAACAACAACAACAATAATAATAATAATAATAATATTAATATTAATAATAATATTATTATTATTAACAATAATATAGTTGAAATCTTGATTTGCATGGCATCAACAGTTCTAATGTGTGATGGGATTGAGAATCATTATGTTAAAGTGGCTTTGGATTAAGTTGGATTGAGAAAATTAGAGAAAAGAGATGATTGGGAAAGAGAAGAACAAAATGAGAGCAAAAGATGTGTTCTTACCCATGGCAGAGAGAAGGATTGGGTTTAAGAGAGAGAATGTTTTTGAGCCAAAAAGAACTGTGCACTCTTTATTCAATCCTATTTATTTACTCATGATTTGCCAAAGATTTATTAATTAAACCTAAGAATAAACATGCATTGCTAGTTTTGTGCATGTAGATTAAGATCTAGAAAATTATATATGTCTTTAAATCCCTATAACAAAAACAATGTCTGCAATAAATGGAAAATTTTCATTCTTTTATTGACCAGCTTTTGATCTGCCCAAGTTGTTTGTTGTCGAAAGATAATGTTGCACTATATATATATATATATATATATATATATATATATATATAGTGTGTGTGTGTGTGGTAAAATGACTGTTCATATTCTTTGATAGTTAATGTTTGATTTGCCCAAATTGTAGTGAGAAATTAATGTTTCAAATGCTACATCAAACTCATTGGAATTTACTTGATTTGGTGAACACAAGGTGATGTCTCTCCCTTTTTAAGAGGAACAATGAATACAAAGCCATTGAATGCCCAAAAGGAGCAGGGATCCATCTATTAAGCCCATGCATAGGCAATAATGATTCACTGTTCTTCGGTTCTGTCGAGAGCATGAACTGAGCAGTAATTCTTCTGAAAGGATGCAATAATGGCAGATCCAGACATCAAACCTAAGACCTAGCTAAGAGAAACACTGCTGGAGAACAGGATCCAGCATAGATTCCAGAGAAAGATATCCTTTGGGATGCTTCCGATCCTAGCAATGGCAGTGGTCCAAAGTTACACAGTAAAGTACAGTATCACTGCACACACACAGACGGCGATAGAACTCATCGTCATCCCTTCTTCGACTCTTGGACCTGCTGCTGCTGCTTGACCGATGACTTCCTTCTGCCAGGGATACACTTACCTTTCACATCCCCTCCTCTGTCCTCCCCCATCTCCAGCTTCCCTTCACCAATCCCAAGCTTTGAGCTCCTGTCTCCAACAGCATCAACACCAACGATTAATCATACTGCATTAGTCACTGGTTAGTGAAGCTTAAAGCCACAATCCCGACAAGCAGGAGCTCAACTGATGGATTAAGTGGAGGTTAATCCCCATTGGAGTGAAGTAGGATAAGGAAAGGTGTCACCTTTCTTCGTTGTAGGAGGAGGATTTCTTGAGAGAGGGCTCGGACGGCCCCCTGCTACCCTCGACGATGCTGCCGCTGAAGTACTCCTTGTCCTCTATCAGGGGGTGACAGAAGCGGGGGTTATCCGAGTCGCGACGCAGCTCGTCCTCCTCGCCCGCCCGGCTCGCGAGTCGACTCACCACTCCACGGTGTCGCCCGTTGCGTCTCCGCTCCTCAACTGGTGAGGCGGAGGTGGCGGCGGCCTTGATCATTCCGCCGCTGGGGCTGCTTCTTCCCTTCAGGGCCGCGGACCCGCAGGCGATGAGTTGGAGCAGGACCGAGTTCCGAGTCAGGCCCGGTTCCGGCGTCTGGTCGACCTCCTCGAACCTCCGGGAGGCGCCGAGGCCGGGGGCGTGTGTGGGGGGCTTGTCCGACGTGGTGGAGGAAGGCGGAGAGGAGTCGTCGGTGGGCAGCTCGGTGAGCCCGTGGTGGTTAGCCGGAGCCGCGACTCGCTCGATCTCGTCCGTCGAAACGCCCCGGGAAAGCCGAGAGTAACCTGCGCCGTTCGGATGCTTGTCACCCCCCGTGCCCTTACCGCCTCTCAGCTCTTCCTCCTCCTCTGTAACCTCTTCTTCCGCTGCCTCTTCTTCGTCGTCGTCTTCTGGTTCCAAAAGGAGTCTGTGGGGCGCAGGAAGTCGTTTTGGCTGCCTGGTGCTCGCAGTGACGTGTTGGAAACGCGCTGACACGCAAATCTCAAGTTGAATACAGCCAAAGAAACGCTTGCAATCAAGTGGAAACATCCAATAAAACAGTAACAGGGACTCGGGAAAGGAGGAGGCCAAGAAAAGACCATAAGCGCCCGGGATGATCTCAGAGCCTTTCAGAACGTACTCCACGCCGTCCGCCGGAATGATGATGTCGTTCTCGGCCAAGTCATTCCACACGTACCCATTCTTGTAGCTCCTTTTTCGTGTTTCACAGATCGTTACAAGAACATCAGAACAGGTTGGCAGGACAATCAATAAAGGATTAATAACAGGAATCGATAGAGATTACCTCTTGCAAGACCAGGAAAAGAGGGAAGGCATGCCTTTGCCTCGGAGAAGAGTCAGTCTCTCCATCACATCTAATTCATGCAAGACACACTCTGAGAAAGAGAGAGAGAGAGAGAGAGAGAGAGAGAGAGAGAGAGAGAAGGCGACCTCGGAGGCGGAGCTGGTGGTTTGGGAGGTGAGGGAGCTCGATGAAGTGGGGTTGCTCCAGCTGCCCATTCCTGCTGAGATAGTATATGACCTGAACTTTCCTCAAACACCTGATGAACCTCTGTTGGTGCGAGCACCCCAGTCTGGCTCGCTCTGGGCTCGCCTCCCTGCTGCTGAGTCTCCTTCCTCTTCCACCCCTGATCTCCATCTCCACAACAAACAGCAACTGTTACTACGGCCAGGCTCTGTTGCTGCTTCTCGAATGATGTGAAGGAAAAGGAGAGAGAGAGAGAGAGAGGAGGAAAAAGACGGGGATCCGGTAACGTGCGAAGTGTCCACCCTCTGTTTCGGTCTCTTTATAGCGAGCAGTGTGCGTGACGACACAGGCCAGGGTGAGGTACACCGGTGTCTCTCCCTGTGCCACTGCGTTGCCTTTTGACACGTTGCATGATTCGAGACAGAGACCGGACGATGCGTCCTTACGTGCAAAAGCCCGTCTTCATGGATCGTAAGCTGCAAGAAGTAAAAGAGACGAAGAAGAAACGCTCGGAAACAGACTGCGCAGTAACTCTCTTCGCCGATTCAAATTCAAATCGAGAAGAAGAAGAAAGAAGCTTCACATGATTTGACATCCAGATGGAGATCAAAGGGATTACTATTACTCATGTGATTGTTTCTTGATGAAGAAGAAGTAAAGGAAGAACCATCGGTTCTCTCCCATCTCCTTGCAGTTCAGTTCTTCACCACTGTCCCACTGTCTGGCCAACACCCTCTTTGATCCTCATGAGGAACGAGTAGTTCAATCATTTTTCTTCTATTGTCTCATCATTTTATCTGACGAAATCCAGATACATTGAAAGCGGAACAGTTTGATGCATCACTCACGACCGTTGGTTTGACCATGGATTGGTGAAGACAGCTCAAGCATCCCGAGCTTGCAGGGGGCCTCAGAAGGCTCAGCATGGCTGCTTTCGATCCTGTGCTGCTTGTCCCACTCCAAGTCGACATCTCTGAGGTGACCACTCCGTTCACCCTTCAGTAGCTATCACTCAGTAAATGCTACTGACCTTTTATAACACCATCAGGTTAATATTTTTTTTCGAGATAATATTTTATATTTAATTTTATCCTATATATCTAATATTTTATTTTGGTTTGATTTGATTTAAGAGGAAAAGAATATGCATTTATCATTTTTCAGAAAACATGTATTTGATAAAGTATTATTTCTTTGAAAAATCAAAAGAAATAGTTTTGTCGGTTTCAGCGACTCGGCCGCCAAGTGTGCGGTGGACAACCCGTTCAGCTCGCATGTGAGAAGGAGCGGTTTTGGGAGCCGTGGGGGGAAGCGGTTTCCTTTTCCCACGTGTCCTTATCAGGGACGATACATGATAGCGATAGCACGTAGTACCGATAGCTGCCGCCACCACCACCGTCTCCGCAGGTCGTTCATGGCGGAGATCCTCTTTGCTGGGCACCTCGACCTCCGTCTTGGCCCCGACTCCTTCAAGCTCTCCCCTCATCCTCCAACGCCCCTCCCTCTCGGTCGCTTGCTCTCCAGACCGCCTTCGCTGCCTCTGCCGAGGTCCAGGACCGTGACGAAGCCCCTCTCTAGATCCTTCTCCGAGATACTATCCGTCACCGGTACTTCAGATTCCCTTCCCATTTGATTCCTAGACTATGGATCGGCGATTGGCGGCGTTCTTTAACGCCTTGTCGGTCTTGCCCTTGATCTTGTTGCTGTTCTTTATCGGGGGTTTGATGGTGATTTCGACAGAGTGCTCCGACGGCAGCACCATCTTCCGATTTGGTGATGCGACCGAGGTGAAGCGGGACGAGGTTGCTGCTTCTGGAAACTGTGTTCTTGAGAAGGATGTGGAAAACTCGGGTAAAGCGGACGCGAAAGATCCAACGGAAAATGATTCTGGTGAGATGAGCCAAGAAACACCAAAACGATCCGATCTTGAGATGAAGGGATTGGAACCAGTCGTAATTGGTGACCTAACAGCTGAAGGAGTCCACAGTTTGGGTCGGACATACCGGGAACCGGTCGAGATGGTTCCAAAAATTGGAGCTGGGATCTGTTTGGAGGAGACTGCGGTAGCCAGTGAAGAAAAGATTACTGTTAACGAGGTAGAGAAGCCAGAAGCAACCAGGGAATCTTGTGGTAACGGAGAATTGAAGGGGTTGGCCACACAACTAAGCCAAGAAAGCTGTGTCTCTGCAATAGATGATGTTGGATCTTTGATAGAAGATGAGGAAGAGGATGTAAACTCCGTGGATGTTTGCAATAAGGTTGATGAAGCAAAGTGTTGTGTTGAGTGGACAAACATATTAATAGGACATGCTTCTGGCAATGATGATAAGGTAGTACGAGATATTGATTCGGACATTCATGTTTCACCAGAAGATCAGGTTGTTCAGTCTCTGGATGAAGATTCTGATTCTGCTTTGAGAGCATCAGTGAGATCAGTTTGTCCGGCTAAATGCATGGATATGGACGTGAATTCTGTCAGTGAAACTTCACAATTATCGAGTAGTTCTTGTATGGATGAGTCAGAGGGTGAATCAAGCAATGGAACTCAAGTAGAAAAGGCACCAGAATATAGTGAAGGGAGAACCTCTGATATGGACATTGACTTTGGAGATAACTCACTTGATGAAATGACTTTTGAAGCAACTAAAGAACATAAGGAATCAAGAAGCCCTGATGTGGATGACGAGGTGAAAGATGTTCATGGTGATGGAATGCTGCAACGTAGTGGTAGTTTTGAGAATCTAGAAATCCCAGTTCATGAGACTATTCAAATCATGGAACCGGTCGAGATGGTTCCAAAAATTGGAGCTGGGATCTGTTTGGAGGAGACTGCGGTAGCCAGTGAAGAAAATATTACTGTTACCGAGGTAGAGAAGCCAGAAGCAACCAGGGAATCTTGTGGTAAAGGAGAATTGAAGGGGTTGGCCGCACAACTAAGCCAAGAAAGCTGTGTCTCTGCAATAGATGATGTTGGATCTTTGATAGAAGATGAGGAAGAGGATGTAAACTCCGTGGATGTTTGCAATAAGGTTGATGAAGCAAAGTGTTGTGTTGAGTGGACAAACATATTAATAGGACATGCTTCTGGCAACGATGATAAGGTAGTACGAGATATTGATTCGGACATTCATGTTTCACCAGAAGATCAGGTTGTTCAGTCTCTGGATGAAGATTCTGATTCTGCTTTGAGAGCATCAGTGAGATCAGTTTGTCCTGCTAAATGCATGGATATGGAGGTGAATTCTGTCGGTGAAACTTCACAATTATCGAGTAGTTCTTGTATGGATGAGTCAGAGGGTGAATCAAGCAATGGAACTCAAGTAGAAAAGGCACCAGAATATAGTGAAGGGAGAACCTCTGATATGGACATTGACTTTGGAGATAACTCACTTGATGAAATGACTTTTGAAACAACTAAAGAACATAAGGAATCAAGAAGCCCTGATGTGGATGACGAGGTGAAAGATGTTCATGGTGATGGAATGCTGCAACGTAGTGGTAGTTTTGAGAATCTAGAAATCCCAGTTCATGAGACTATTCAAATCATGGAAGCCCAATTTGAAGATATCGGGGCTTCACAAGTGTCTATGGCAGCTCAGGACATCACTGATGTGGATGTGGAATTATTCTCTTCTTATGCAGATGGCCATGGGGACAGCAATACTGTTGAAAGATTAGTCAAAGTAATATTCTTGTTCTATTTCCTTTCTTAGTTCTTATCTGTGAACTTACGTAAGAAATATGCAAAAAAATTGCATAACATGCTATGGGTAAACAATAATCTTTCTGGTTTTCATATAAGTCTTAAGTTGGTAGTTTGTTTTCAGCTGTTCTCATATAGTTAACTTAGATTTTTTTTTTCATGATGTAGTGCGGACAATTTCCTACCTTCTAGAATATCTAACACTTTTACATCTTTTGATGTCCATGTTCATGCACTACCAGCTTTACATGGATGAATAATAGTAGGATGTAAATTGTAAGAACTGCATGTCTAAGAACATATAATTAGAGAACCTCATGGCTGTTCTTCGGCACGTTCGGATTCATGCACAATAACTGATTCTTGTTTTTGAAGCTTGACGTTACTTAGCTTTGTCGTATTAACAGGCTGAAACCATTGATGGAATGAGACAAGATGAGAATGCTGAAGTTGCAGGTTATAATAGGTACCGTATATATTTTCTCTTGTTTAACTCTCAATTAATGTAACAATTACAATTTTCCTTTCCAGAATTGTGTTCTCTTTGTTACCACAAAAAAAAAGAAAAAAAAAGATATTCTACAAGATGTTTTTAGGCCAAACTAATGCTTTTATATATGAATGATACAGTTTTATTCCTATGTAGGGTGGACCAGGTACCAGCACACTTGCTTTCCTTGTCTTCTGGAGCTGCAATCTTACCTCATCCTTCAAAGGTACTGAAGCAAGTCCCATAGATAATCTAAACCAAAGCCTTTAAAGAATTCTTTACCGTTTTTATTGGCTAAAAATATTTGTCTTCTTGACTGGCATTTATAGTTATTCTTATAATTGATGGGTCTGCAACTTTAATTGTTATGTTGTTTGGAGATCAGAATATGAATTCATACTTCGAAATCATATGTTCTAGGGTCTGTTTTGTCCTCCATGTTTTGATGATACCCGTGATTTTCTATAAGATGAAACATCCTGCCTTAAGAGTAGGAATAAATATTTTCTTGAAGTTTAAATATCTGAAACAAAAAACCCATGGTTCAAAGAATATAATTTTAACTTCGGCTACATGGACGCTTTCAGGCTATTGATCTTTGTTGAGGGCAAATCACTGGATAATCAAAATGGTTCATGATTTTTCTTTTTGTTTACTATTTTTGGTCTTTTCCTTATGCCTTTGTTAAATAAGGTTTGTCAATCACTTTGTTATATGTGAATCATCAAGCTATTTTGGAAAACTGAGTGTCTACTGTATTTGTATAAAGTGATTATTGTAACTAATTCTTGAAGTACTGCTGAATTGATTAAGAGTTCTTGCAGATTTGAACCAATTGGTTGCAGAAATAGAACCATCTGCACATGGAAATGGTTCTTGATTGGATCTTTGAAGTTTTAAGGGTATTGATCATTTTAAGTTGCAAATGAATTTATTAGGTATCAATAACACATTATGAGGTTCATGTTAATATTAATTTTACTACATAAATTTCCTGATGATATCTTGTGTAACCCTGTAAATTACATTACATAGTTATAAGCTGCTTTTTCCATCAGAAGTCTTTAATTTGACCTTTATTTAGTTTCTGCTGCATGCTAATTCCAGTGAGCATATTTGGTTTTCATACCAGATGCTTAATTCAGTGATCTAATGATGGAAATGTAAAATCCAACATGTTAGTAGTGCTCCCTTAAGTACAATTGGTAGAAACCATGCAACAGTAATTTTTTTTTTTTTCAAAATTCTGAACTCTTGGACAATATAACTTATATAGCTCTCCTTTTCATGAATCTCGGTCCCTTCAGTCGAGTTTTGCTTTAGTATGTTGATTTCAAAATATCTTATTTCATTATGTTGCACTCTGTCTCTGACTGAAAATATCAAAGGTTAGTGATTTGAAATAATAATGCCAGGCATTGACAGGTGGTGAAGATGCGTACTTTGTGGCTTTGAATAACTGGTTTGGTGTAGCTGATGGAGTCGGACAGTGGTCCCTAGAAGGTGTTGCCCTTTCTTGGTTCTTATTATAAATCATCATCATTGGGTAGACAAATTCCAGTTGATTTGTTTAAATTTTTTTTATATCATTTTACAAATGAAACTGAAGAACATGAATTTTTTTTTGCCAATTTACTCGCGTTACAAATTGTATGAGTATCAGGTCCAGAGTAGACAAATTGTAGACTGACCTCAGGACCAGAGTCTGAATCTGAAATATGTCCTGTACATCTTGTAACTAAAAATTACCTGATAGCTATGAGTATCCGGTCAAGCATTAGCTGGCACAAAGGTTTTATTTGAAGTAATTTAAGCTTTGATCAAGATGTTGTGGTACGGTGGAAAAGTTGCAGCAACTTAAAGCTTCAATTGAGATGTTGTGGAGATAATGTATCAAGTTCACAACAACAAGATTTAAACTGGCAGAAGTTACAGCGATGAAAGATCAAACCATGAAGCATCTCCTTGCTTGCAATAGACTTCCGTGCCCAGTGTTCCTCACAAATACGAGACCTTTTTGTTATTTTCACCTTTTTTCTTACTGGTCAACCATTAGTTTTATAGTCTTGAATGTGACCTTATTTGCTTCTTAGCTGTTGAAGTTGCATTCATATTCAATCTTATGGTTCAGGAATCAATGCGGGGTTATATGCCAGAGAACTGATGGAGAATTGTGAGAGATTTGTCTCAAAATATGAAGGAACTAAACCAGATGAAATCTTAACCAAGGCTGCCGCTGAAGCAAGTTCTCCAGGCTCGTCCACGATTTTGGTTGGTTATTTTGATGGACAGGTGCTTTCTCATATTCTGCAGAAATATTAAGACACATGATCCTATCATCTATGTTTTTTCCTGCTGTTGCAGCATCTGAGATCCTATAGTTTGGATGGCTCTCATGTTCTCCAGAACTGGGAGTTCTTTAACAATTTCTTGTGTTACTGCTATACAGGTTCTTTATGTAGCTAATATTGGAGATTCTGGATTTATTGTGATAAGGAATGACACAGTTTTCAAAAGGTCTACTCCGATGGTATATGGGTTTAACTTTCCCTTCCAGATTCAGAGGGGTGATGACCCTTCGAGATACATTGAGGTATAAATATCTTTGTCTAGCAATTATCATGGACCTACAAACTTGGTGCATCACATTTTTTTTTTCTTTCAAGGAACTTCTTTGCTATATTATCGTCATGCATCTTCTTGAATCCTAGATGTACAAAATTGACTTGCATGAAGAGGATGTTGTTGTGACCGCAACTGATGGCCTGTTCGACAATCTATATGAGCATGAAGTAGCAGACATTGTGTCAAAATCGCTGCAAGCGAGTCTGAAGCCCAGGGTTAGAGTCAAAGCCGTTTACTTGTATCCTAACCAACTTATTTTTTCATATTCCGTTGGTGATAACGAAAAATAACATTTCAGGAAATCGCAGAGATCCTAGCAACAATGGCACAGGAATTGGGAAGATCAGCATCAGCTAGAAGTCCTTTTGCAGATGCAGCCCTTGCAGCTGGGTATCCTGGCTTCACTGGAGGTAAACTCGATGATGTTACTGTCATCGTTTCTATTGTTGAGAGATCCAGCCGATGACTTTGTTAATAACAAGAGTCTTAAAGTCAGTAGTTTCCGGTTTTTGGATTTTGTTTCCTGGAGTTTATCTATCAGCTTTTGGTCGTTAGTGATCACAAATTTTTAGTTGGTATGACTTCATTCTCCTCTCGTGTTTTGGTTGTGCAGGTCTTGTTTGCTTGCCATCTTTTACTTTGGTAGTACAGCTGCATGAATCTGAAGAATAATTGAATTAGAAGCAAATCTTATAGTTCAAGAGATTCATGAAACTTGGCATCTTGATATTGATATTCTCGCAACTTATTTTAATATATGAAGTTTATTTATAACATAACAGAATTTTCTCGTTGTTCAATAAAATCCAAGAGACTAAATAATGTGTGTTTCTCATGCCTCATTTTTGTTGTTATAATTCTCAGATTTGTTATAAATGATGAGGTGGCTAATTCTCCTTAAGTTTGGTTAACACATAATTTCCTACTAAACATGATCATTATTATTATTATTTATTTCATTTCCCACTAATAATGGTGTATAATCATGAGAAGAAAACTGGCTTTGTTTGTGAGATAGGTAGGTGGACCAAAATTTGAGCTCAACCATGATCACACAACATGACTCTCAACCACTGTGGTTGTGGAAGCATGGGAAGCTGTCATCTTCATTCAGTCCAAATTGTGCTTTTTTTTATACGTGTCTTTCTAATGCGTTCATTTGAGAAATGAGTTAGGCAAGGTGAGGTTCAAAGATTAAATTGAGAACTCTTTGCAATGGGTATATTAGTGGATTTTAACATCTTTAATTATATAATAGAGGGAGGTGTAAATGTCTTTAAAATTTTAGTTGTCAGTTGAATAAATCCTGCCTATGGTTGGGTACACCTGGCCAAAGTGAGGTGTAAATGTCTTTTATTTGTCAATTGAACAAATCCTGCAACGGGCCCACCCGCTTATTTTTTTCGGACCCATGTGTGCCACATACCCACACTAATTGCAGGAAGCATGGGAGCCAAAATGGAGTCCAATTCGCACTTATTTCCTCTCTTCTCTTTTCACTCCTTGTCACTCTTTTCACTCCATGAGTGCCACCTACCCAGACTAATTCCAGGAAACATGGGAGCCAAAATGGTTGACCCTTCTGTGGGGACCACTTGTGGGGGCCTGTCCATGTCCGGTCGCAAGGCAGGTAAGCATGGAGGCTTATAAACGGTGGATGGGTTTGGATACCACTAAACCGACGCACGAACGACGAACCGAAACCTAATCGCTCAAATCATGCTTTCAACATGTCACACTCCTTACGCTGACGGGAAGAGGACGGTTATGGAGGGGAAGAGTTGGTGATCGACGCCACCCTATTCCCGGTCAAGAATCCCACGAGGTCGCGCGCAGGAGGTCACCAACCTCCTCTTCCCTCGTCACATCGGAGACGAGGATAGAAAATGGGGGAAAATAAGCAGGAGCCAAGAAGGTGAGAAGGAAAGCGATGACTCGTGGATTTTGACGGGAATGGAATCGATTTTTTCCTCTTATTGTGTGTTGCGGGGAATCTTGATTCTTCCGAGTGGAAGAGGTGGTGGCTGTGGACAAAATGGAGGGATCGGATCGGAAGGTGGTAGTTGGGAGCTACCTCGCCTCGCTCCTTCAAATCGAGCGAGACCGGGAGGAGGAAGCGGCCTGGTGTCACGTGGCTTTTCTCATGCCCATTTAAAGCGTCTCTCTCTCTCTCTCTCCTCCGTCGGCCCCGTTCGCTTTTTTTGTCTTCGTTATTTCTCCGGTATTTGCCGTCTTGGCGAATGTACTCCTAGCAGTGCTCCTGGCCCGCCTCGAGCGTGGGGATCTTGCCCCCTCGGTGCCCACCCACGATGTGAGTTACCCAAATTTACCCTCTTTTTGCGTCGCTGTTGTTCGTAGCTCCGTGTGCGCTTTTTGTGAGCCAAAATTCACCTTCCTTTGTTCCCTCGCTGAAATTTTCTTTTTTTCTTGCGTTCTGTACACCCTCCTCTGTTTTCTTACTGAGCTTCGAAGGAGCATAAGCTTGTTATAGCAATCTTGCATCGTTATTTGGTACGATTTGCTGCATCTAATGTTTTAAGTTGCTATTTAATCGGTTTCTCTCCAGGTGCTCTTTCCAGTGCCTCGTCGACCACTGATCAGAAGGATAGGCTTAGGTTGTATTTGATCTCTTATAATTTCTTTTATACGGGGCCATAGTGTTTTTTGACGGCTTTTGTGATGATTTAAAATACGCTGCAGATGGTAGACGATTTATCTTACTATGGAGATGTAATTGGTATTTTTAGTTGTTTATTTCCTATGTAATTCTCAAAAGTATGGGGAGCTAGTTTCTTCTATGATTAAATGTCATAGTTTGGTGTCACTGAATCGTTTTCTTTTTTGTACAAAGTTGTTTCAATTTAGCTACTGAGGTTTTTATTCTTGACTTCGTTTATGTTTTAAAAGCTCATGATTGATTAATTGTTCGTGTTGCTCTTCTGATTTGTTTTTGGTCCAAACTATATTATCCCATGTCTTTTCTCTGACAAATGTATCCTTTTTAATTGTCGCCTAGTTAGATTAAGCGTCACAAAGTCGTTACATTCATTTATGGTTCTAAATTAATGCTGAAATATGGCAAATTAAATTCACTGTTAGAAATGATTACTGTAGCGAGCACACTGTGACATTTGTAACTAACTGATTCATCATATGCCCTTGCTGGTTTTTTCTTCTTGAAAAGTCTGTTAATCGAGATTGAAGAATTTAACCAGATCACATATTTACTTTTACATGAGATGGTTGTTCACAAAGCTTGCTCACGATCTGTGCGTGGAAGCTTAAGTTAGTATAGAATCATATCGGAACTTCGAGAACAAAACCCTGAAATTTGTAAGCTTTGATATGAAGTACTTTCAAATGCCTGTTGATCTCTTTTGTAGTTATGTATTTCAAGCAATTATGATTTATATAATGATCCAAAGCCTTGGATACACAGTCTTCAACTCAGTGCTCTATCATTCGACTCTGCAGCGTGTCTGAAGCACAAACGGGACCGATTATGATAGAAGCTCCATGGATGAATGGGCTTGTAAATGGAACATTTCAAGTCAGACATGCTGCTGCGCTCTCTGAAGTTGATGATTTCTGCAAAACTCTTGGTGGAAAGACTCCTATCCACAGTATATTTATTGCAAATAATGGAATGGCAGCAGTCAAGTTCATGCGAAGTATCGGAACATGGGCTTATGAAACATTTGGAACTGAAAAAGCAATTCTTTTGGGAGCTATGGCAACTCCTGAAGACTTAAAAATTAATGCAGAGCACATTAGAATTGCTGATCAATTTGTTGAAGTTCCTGGTGGAACCAATAACACTAATGGCCGCTCTAGAAGAGTTGGAGTTGCATGTCCATAACACGACTATCAGATCTGATCATTCTCACATGTACATTTGCATACTGCGGGAGCAACGATGTCCTGATCTTTTACCACCTTCAAGGTTAGTTCTACTTCTACACATAGTTATCTAGATTGTTTCTTTCTTAGTTTTATTTTGCAAGCAGTTGGGTAATAATTTTTCCATCATTACCTTCTTCTGTTACTTATCAGATGCCCAGTTAAGTTATCCAACGTGGAAGTAAATGTAGTGAGATTAGATAATAATTTTTTAATCTTTTTCAGGATGACGGACCTAGATTGTTCTTGACAGGATGAAACTACTGTTTGTATGATCTTAAAAGAAATGGTTCTCAAGATTCATGAACTGGCTGGTGTTCGTATGCACCGTCTGGCTGTCTGTGAGTGGGAAGTGAAGCTATGGCCGAATTCTAATGGGCTCACTGCCTGGAGAGTTGTGGTGACCAATGTTACTGGTCATACTTGCATAGTTCATGTAAGTCTACCACATTAAATGACTAGTTGAATAGGGTATATATTGCAAAGTCATGGAAAAATAGTTTGCAGTTAACACATTTGTATTATGCAACCTATTGAATCAATCAAGTTTTTGATTTTTGTCAGTCCATTTGAAAATAAGCAATTGACTTCATTTTTTTCTAGATCTATCGAGAAGTGGAGGATAGCAATTCACATGAAATGGTTTACCATTCTGCCACCCGTGTAAATGGTCCTCTCCTTGGTATCCCATCAAATTCTCAGTATCAGCCGCTGGGGTCCATTGATAAAAGGCATTTGGCAGCAAGGAAGAACAATACGACTTACTGTTATGATTCCCCATTGGTAAAATTTCCCATTACGTAGTAAATTAAAATCAGGCATTTTTTGCGCTGAATGATGTTAAAATTTTTGTCTGTTATTCTAAAGGCGATCTAACATGTATGCAGGCCTTTGAGACCGCACTTCGACGGTCATGGGCATCTTATGCTTCTTCTGGTACTTGAATGAATGATAACAATGATATGTTCAAATTTACAGAACTGATGTTTGTGGACAGTCATGCAGCTTGGGGAACTCCTCTAGTTCCCGTGAGCCGGTCTTCTGGTCTCAATGACATTGGCATGGTAACGTGGTTAATGGAGATGTCCACACCAGAATTCCCTGGCGGGAGGAAGATTGTAGTTGTGGCAAATGATGTGACCTTCAAAGTTGGTTCATTTGGTCCAAAAGAAGATGCATTCTTTCATGCAGTGATCAATTTGGCTTGTGATAAGAAGCTCCCTTTAATCTATCTGGCAGCAAATTCTGGTGCTTGGATTGAAGCAGCTCAAGAAGTAAAATCTTGCTTTAGGGTGGGGTGGTCTGATGAGTTGAGCCCGGAACGTGGCTTTCAGTACATTTATCTGTCTCCAGAAGACTATAAACGCATCAGTTCGTCTGTTGTCGCTCATGAATTGAAACTGGAAAATGGTGAGATCAGATGGGTCATAGACACTATAGTAGGAAAAGCAGATGACTTGGGAGTTGAGAACCTCTCAGGAAGTGGTGCCATTGCTGGTATTTATTCAAAGGCATATAGTGATGGAATGAAGTGAGTTTACTGTTAGTGCTCAACTCACACATGATTGCAACCCCCCCTTCTCTCTCTCTCTCTCTTTCCACTGCACGTTATTATTGAAGACACAAGCTCTCGACTGCTCATCGAAGCTGGAAGTATGTGACCAGCTAAGCTCTCTCTCTCTCTCGTGGTCTTCTTCACCACTTAGTTTAAGTTGATGAGTACATGAACTGTTATATCAGCGGTCGCCGGTTTATTCTACTTTCTGCTGCATGAACTCCTATAACTTCTGCTTCACACATCTTCACTTACCTTCGGTGCACAACCGATCACAGCTTCTCCGACCGTGAGGAACAGCTTCTCCTGCCCTATGAGCTCAATGAACTCAGCCAAACGGAGCTTCTCGACGACCACCGCCCCAGGATTCGCAATGCCAAGCTACAAAATCCGCACCAAATCAAACCTGTAAGCTCACGCCATCCCACTCTTCAATTACCTCGAACAAACAAACATGAAGCTTTACCACCTGCACGTCACGCTTTTGTAGGCCTCTGTGCAACTCTTTCAAGGCGTGAATCCCACTCGTGTCTACGTCCGTAACAGCTGCAAAGCAGAAGAAGGCTTCCATGCGTTATTAGTCGCTCGAGAAAGGGAAAGATGAGACACTGATGACGGACGGAGAGGTCAGCGTGCGACTCATTACGTGACATGTCGATGATCAAGAAATCAACTCTCGGCAGGTCATTTGCGTTCTGTTGCTCCTCTTCTTCTCTCAGCCATCTCAGGATCCTGCGTTGCGGTTCTAAGCAATTCCATTTCGTCTTCTCTTCGGATTTGCATCAGATCGTAAAGAAGGGAGCCATGACACGGTTGTACCTTTCCTTGACGTAGTTGGAGTTGGAGAAGTAGATCGCGGAATCAACTCTCACGATCAGCACTCCGGGAACCCTAATTGCCTCGGGGTACTGTTCCACGTTCCGATATATCAGCGTTCCCGGTAGATTCCCCAGCAAAGCAGTCCTCGGCCTGGTCACTGGCAGCAGGATCTTCGCCAGCGATATCGATACCTGCAAGCCCCAAAACGAAGAGACTAATCACCGCACCAATTGGCTACCGCAGATTTTAGATGATGAACACATCCGTCCGTACCGCAACCAGGAGGCCGATCTCCACGGACGTGAAGACCACGCCAAAGAAGGCTCCCATGCACGCCATGAAATCGAATCTGTCAACCTTCCAGATGAGGTAAGCTGCTTCGTAGTCGATCAGTCCCAGGACAGCCGAGATGATGATGGAAGAAAGGATGGCGTTCGGGGTGTACTCGAAGAGGGGTGTGAGCACCAGCAATGTCAGCATCACTACCAGCGACATGACCACGTTCGACACCGTGGTTCGGCACCCGGCCATATAATTCACCGCGGACCGCGAAAAGGAACCTGCAAACAAGAACACCGGATGATCCCTGACTGCTTGATTCTTGCTCTGTTCCTCCTCCGACACCGTTGGTACCTGTGGTTACATAGCAAGATGTCATGGAGCCGAGCATGTTCATGGTTCCTAGCGCCACCATTTCCTTGTTTCCATCCAATTGGTAGTCCTTCATGGCCGCAAATGTTCTTCCGATCGCTACCGCTTCCTGATGGATTCAGAGAGAGATGTTAGAGCAACGTTCCTTCGAGGAGAATCAGAGATCCATCTTAGTTACCGTCAACGCCACCATTCCGGCCACCACTCCGATCCGGAAACCTTTTGCAGCGAACGAACCGGCGAAGCGGATCTGATCAACGGATGATGGGTTGATGCCTTTTTCTATTTTCTTCACCTTTTGGTTCATCAAGTGTTTGGGCAAAATTCAGAGAGTAAAAGACCGACAAATCTTACGATATGGAATGGAGAGATCTCTGAGCTGAAGGACTTACGATCTGAACACCATGCTTGTCGGCACGAGTGACGTACACCAAAAGGGTGGCTAAGATGACGGAGATCAACGGAGCAATGGCTGGAACCCAGAAGAGCTGCTGCTTCTTCTTCTTACCCTGTAAACGAAGCTGATCAGAGGGCTTATTTGGTTGACGAGATTGATTCAGCTGAGATAAGAGCATGCACACACGATGTATCTGGCAGCCAGAAGGAAAGCCAAGAAGGCTGATCCGATCAGCATCGTCTGCCAATTCCACTGCAGAAAGGAGTCGAACACCGTCAGAAAGGATGAACTCAGAGACAAGAAGCAGAAGCAAAGCTTGAAACATAAGCCGTAGCTTTACCCCATGCTCGACTGATCCCCACACGGACCTCATGACGGAAACGATGTCCGTGTTCTTGGTGAACTTCTTGATGCCGAGAAACCCTTTGAGCTGCTGAAGTGCTATCGTGATGGCAGCCCCTCCCATGAATCCCACGATGGCAGCATGGGAGAGGAAGTCGATCAGAAACCCCAGTCTGGAACATGGATTTCAGATTTGATCGTGGAGTATGCATGAGTCAGAGTACAGTACTGATGCAGCATCAGAAATCTCACCTCAGGAAACCCAAAGCTGCTTGAGTGACTCCGGCAAAGAAGGTCGCAGTGAAGGCGAGCCGCCGGAACTCCTCCTTCTGGGTCACAGGATCGAACTCGTTCTGCAGAAGAGCCCCAAGCAAGAGAGACACCACCGCTACGGGTCCGATAGCGATGTCCCTCGAGCTACCCATCACCGCATAAACCAGCGGCGGAACGAAGCTGGAATCTGCAGCAGCAGCAGCAGAATTGGTAGTGTCATATGAGAGCTAAGATTTAGCTTACGGTAGCGGACATCAACTCACACAGTCCATACTGCGGATCCATGTTGGCAAGCTTTGCGTATCCAATATCCTGAGAGATCGAGGGAGCGAATGAGGAGGAATCGAGTGCGTGTTAGAATCGCCAATGTCTGCTACGGGTGAGGACGACGCGATCATAGATAGATAATACCTGAGGGATGCAAAGACTTGCGATGGTGAGTCCGGCAATGATGTCGCCCTTAAGCTTGCTGAGGTTGTAGTCTCTCCCCCATTCCAGAGCTGGAAACAAGAAACGCAGTCCCAGCGCGAGCTGTTTCGATCTCGGTTGATCCTTGTAAGGGCGTAAAGGATCGTCGGCGAAGAATGTTTCCTTCAGCCCGCGGGTGAAATCCGTCGCCAAGCTTCTCCGGGGAGGGAACCCAACCTTGTGCACGCAGGAAGAGTCAGATTGGTTGGCCATGGCAGCTCCTCGTCAGTTTCCTGCACCCATCAGCAACAGCTATCACAACCCAGAATAATGCATGCGATCAAGATCATTCTTCATGTAAACAGATCTCATGAACAAACCAAAGAACGATGGTTTGGGGAAGAAGATGACGAGAATACAGCAGCGTCTGCATCAGGCCATGAACCTCCTGTTTGATTGGTGCTCCGAATCACAGAATCAAAGGACAAAGACTTCAGCGGTTGTGATTGCAGAGTCAAAAGACTCGCGGTTTCTATTCACCACATCGAGAAGCAGAGCACTTCTGATGGTTCTCATAATTCCTTCCTCAAGTGACGGTACTTTTTGTCTTCCACGATGAACAAAACCTAAGACTAACGATGGAATTCTCACACTCATTTCTTATGTCATGTTTCCAAGGATTTGTGGAATGTACCCAAAGAGAGGGTGCATTGCATTCCACAACCAGAGATGCATATGAGATTTCAATGACAAATAGCACATCATATATGTCAGCAAAAGGAAGAAACAGAGAGGGTAGAAACAAAGGAAGAAGAAGAAGAAGAAAGAGAGAGAGAGATCAACTCACCCTCACCTCCCCGAGAAAACCAATAAAGAAATCACATCAAAATGGTGTTCCTCACAGTCCAAGCTCCCTTTTAATGTCCTCCGTTAGAGCTGTCTGAGGAATGTGTAAAGAAGGGATTCCCGGTGACCTCAAAAGTAGTTTGGAAAGGATGTGTCAAGTTGGGAAGGTGAGAAGGATGCCGAAACCTGTCCGCATTCAGTGAATCTGATGACGAGCATCGATGCAAAAGATCCGGCACCTAAATTTTATGTTCTTCACACAAAATCTATCTATTTGGAAGGTTTTTGAATGGAATAATGACCCCTAAAAGAAAACAAATCTTGATACAGCCCTATCAAAATCAACTAAATATATTTCTTTTCCATCTGGATTTACTAACAAATCTTTTTTTCTGATGTTTTAGATATGAGTTACATCAAGCAGTGATTTCTTCTCTATCATCAGCAACTTGACTGATAAGGTATATTTTGGGTCTATGCCGTGTTACGAGCGATGCCACGTAACGCTGCAGCTAGGTAAGCAAGAGCACCCCTACGCGTCGAGCCAGAGACCGTATCAAGGCGCAGCTCGACCGCGTACGCCCGACCCTCATACAGTAACATAAAAGCATCTGGCCGGGACCTGACCAAAGGAGAAAAAAGAACGAAAAACTCCAACCCGCCACTGATTTGATCGTCAGAAGGACCAAAGTCGGGAAACACCCGACGACAATCTTTTTTGCATGAAAGCTGTCATCGCAAAGCAAGAAGGTGTTGATCAAACCCCCACCGTCGATGCTCAAAGTGGTGTTCGATCGATCTCGACATCCAGCTCAACCGACTAGAGACTCCCAATATTATCCCGTGGACCAGGCCGTGTTGACTCTATCAGTCACGACTCGTCAATCCATCAACACTGACCACTTTTGTCTGAGGGGAAAGTCAACAACTGCACTCTCATCAGCAGTAATCACATCCTCTTATAATTCTCTCCCATTTGTTACGGTATTTTGACTATAGTGTTTTGATCACCACAATAAATAAACACACTATAAGATTTACTAAAAATATATTATAAATAATCTAAATAAACTTTCAGCTTTAATCAAAATAATTATAAATCTAAAAATATAATATTATAAGAACATATGAGCAATGACAATTAAATATCATTTATAGTATTTTTTTAAATTATATATATATCGTTAATAAATAATATCATTAATAATTATTAGTAATTTATCATGCTGATGATAATGAAGATTGTTATTATTAGGTATCTAAATGCAAATTCAGATTAGGGCACGAGTTCGTGCTGCTCCGCTTCTCTCGTCGATTCACCGAATGGGCGCGGAAGAGCAGCAGCAGAGGGCCAACGGAGGTGACAGGATTGGGGGCTCGAGGCCGACGCCCATCTCCGAGTCTCAATTCCTGATATGGAAGCGCCGAAAGGTTCGACCTTCGTTCCTTCCTCATCTCTAGGGTTCCGGTTCTTCGTTTGCTTCTCGTTCCATCGAGATTCCCGTCTTTATGGATCAGTGGGGTTTCAAAGCACGATTTTCTTCGTTTAGGGTTCCAATTTTCGGTCTTCTTTTTCGTTTCGCCCTTGCTGGATTGTATATTTTCATCTTTAAGAGTGACTTGGGTTCTACCGGACGAAAGCTCGGTTTTGTTACCGCTTTATGCTTCAGCACTGGAGAGTCAAATCCAATAATGTTTTCTGAAGTCTCTTATTCTGGAGATAGGGATGGTTTCTTATGGTTGTTTCATTGTAGCTGGAGTTCTAATTCGTTCCGTTGAACATGCTGCAGTCGGAGTTATAGTCGTAAACTGATTTAGACCGTAAGCCCAAACAAAAAGTAGATCAGCCTTAAATTTTGGATCTTGCACCTTTTCTGTGTTAAATTTGCTTCGAAGACTGTGTGAAATGAGGACCAATGTTATCAACTAGTTTGATTTCATTGATGAGCTAAAGTTTTCTTGCACCTTGTTATTTTCATAAAATGCATATGTCCTTAGCCTTTGGCAATTTCGACCTTGATTTACCATATAGCAAGATATCGACTTCGGTAATTTATGAGAGTGGCACCTCTTTCTCTTGGATTCACTGGTTCTTGGATATTTTGGATAAATTGTGTAATCAAAACATCATGAACTGCTAGGCTCATGGTTCTCTTCATACTATTATTTCTTCATGTTTGAGCAGCCAATTACCTTATACTTTGTATTGCCCCACCAATTATCTAATAATTTCTGAGATCTAAGCTACAAATGAACCTGTGAACTATTTACATGTGACATCTGAGTAATTTCATGTGGATGAATGGGTTTGGCAATTGAAACTAATTGGTGCATCTTAATTCACATTTCGCTTGATTTATGTACAGAATTTAGTTACTTATAGCAGCTAAACATACTGTTAGTACTCATATCCAGGATGCTGAAACAGCAGCAAGAAAAGCTGAAGTTGCTCAGAAACGTGCGGAAGATATAGCTGCTGGAACGGTGCAGATGAATGGTCGTGAGCTTTTCCTCCGTGAACCCTGGGTATTTGATAACACCCGTTACTGACGTTCCAAAGGTAAAATATTAGTGGGGTATGATATGTTCGCTGTCCAAATCTTGTTTGCCGCCCCAATTCTTTGTCATCAGTAGATACGTTTTTTCCTGTTATTTTTATGCATGAAGTCGTGTTATTCGGATTACCTAGATACCTTTTTTTGTTTTCATATAACTTGGATCCCTAGAAAAAGAGTCAGTTTGGCGAGTTTTACCCCTATTGTGTTTAGGTAACCTGTGATTAATTTCTTTTTTTATACTTTAGGACTTCGTAGTAACGTAGAATTAACCGGTTCTATTTCAGTATTCAAAGACAGCACACCATATGTGTTTTAGGCAATATCACCAGTTTGTGGGAATTGGCTATATATAAGGGTTTGCGGAAAGCATCAATATAGAGTTGTCATCATGCATCGCTTGCTCCAGTCTGAGAATGCCTTCATGATATTTACTCAACCGTCGAAAACATATATGCTTTTGAACACTTTAAGAGTTGATTCCAAGCATATCTCCAGAGTTGCTTATCTTCCTTGTTTCTAATTTCGATTATGAACAGGTCTTTGATTACCAAAGGTGGGAAAGAATGTAGTCTTCTAAGAGAATTTTAGGCTGCATGCGTGCGGGGAGATAAAAGAAAGATTCGAAGGGTTAAGCTTGAAGAGCGCTTCATTGTACTTCCAAATTTACTACCTGTATTTACGTTTCTGTATCTTTATATATGCCATTATAATTGTCTCCGACATTGAAGAATGCATCCTCGTTAATTCTCTAATCATATGCACTGGAATCATATATTTGCGATGAGATGATTGCCACCTTGATCAGCTTATTTTGCATGAACACAGACATTTTGAAACGCTTATCGAAATATTTATTATTGTAGTTTCCTGCATCAGTTAAATTGATTGTGATGTTTGAATTGGCCCGACTTGAAAAATGCTATATATATATATATATATATATATATATATATATATGTATATATATGTATATACACATATGTATACATATGTATACATATGTATATATATAACAAACCATACTTCCTATTATAATCTCCTACCCAACACGTGGAGAGTAAGCATTCTTTAGTATTTAGCGCACTAACTCGGGCCACAGTAAAGTTGCGGATGTTCCAATAGAATTAACTCGGTCCAATAATTTAACTGGGCCGAGTTTGTCTACGACTCGTCCCACTTCATTGATCAGTCCTAGTGTGGAGGCCCACCCGCTCTGTCGAAAACCCTCCTCTTTCTTTGCGTACGAGGCGATGCCTATTTTTTCAGTTCCAATGGGCTACAACCAATCCCGCCGCAGAGGAGCGATCGTCGGGGATCTCAATGGTAAGAGCCTTAACGCCCTCCTCCTTCTCCTTCACGCTCTATTGTGTTTAGGTAACCTGTGATCAAGAAAGACTTCGTAGTATCGTAAAATTAACCGGTTCTATAATTGTCTCCGACTTTGAAGAATGCATCCTCGTTAATTCTCTAATCATATGCACTGGAATCACATATTTACGATGAGATGATTGCCACCTCGATCAGCTTATTTTGCATGAACACAGACATTTTGAAACTCTTTTCGAAATATTTATTATCGTAGTTTCCTGCATCAGCTAAATTGATTGTGATGTTTGAATTGGCCCGACTTGAAAAATGCTATATATATATATTTATATATATATACAGATATTTATATATTTATATACATATATATGTATATACATATGTATATATTTATATACATATATATACTTATACATATATACATATGTATATATAACAAACCATATGTCCTATTACAATCTTCTACCCAACACGCGAAGAATAAGTATTCTTTAGTATTTAGCGCACTAACTTGGGTCTCAGTAAAGTTGCGGACGATCCAATAGAATTAATTCGGTCCAATAATTTAACTGGGTTGAGTTTTTTCTACGACTCGTCCCACTCCATTGATCAGTCGTGGAGGCCCACCCGCTCTGTCGAAAACCCTCTCTTTCTCTGCGAGGCGGTGCCTATTCTTCCAGCTCCCATGGGCTACAACCGATCCCGCCGCCCCGGAGATCGCTCCGCTCGTCGAGGGCAGACCAGTACGAGCCGGGGATCTCAGTGGTAAGAGCCTTCACGCCCTCCTCCTCCTCGTTGTTCGATTGTTTTCTAGTCTCCTATCGTTAATTCGTCTTCCCGACTAGGTTTTATTTTGTTTTCCAGCATCGATTTGGTTTCTTTGGTAGCGGGTATTAGTACTCGTAAATTTGCATGCGGGATGTGTTGATTCTTCTGTCTTGGTTTAATTTGATAGAATAACCTAGGGTGTAATATTTGGGTTAGATCAAATGGTTTGTGCAACACTTTGATCATCTGGAGCTAATTCTAACGAAGTTCCTGTTGGTTTAAATTCTACAGGGATGAGGATCATGATAGATCCCTGCCGACAAATGAAGGTATGGAGTTTAGTTCAGTGGATATGTGCTATTTGGGATGTTTATTGTTGCGTGCTATATTATGTTATTTTCGATTGTTTATCCTTACAAAGAAAGAAGAAAAGAAAATAGTGATTATGCTGATTCTGTTCGGTTTTATGATGAAAGAATTGTGTCGCAAGCTATTGTTCGATCCATAGGAATACACATGAAAATATATCAAAATCTATTGTGAAATATATGCTTCAATTACCTGTTTTGCTGAACGTTAAGTTCAATTTTAGTCTCAGCTAATTTGTATGCTCATACTAGGTCGCTTGCATTCAAGCCCTTGATATTGCTGGTCGTTGGTCAATGCGCGCTTTTGTTTTATTGTTCCATTTTCTCCATTCATTTGTGAATTTGAGTTTCTAGCCATTAGTTTATTGTGCTATATTTAGAATCATTTTTTGGAAGAGTTGATAGGTTTTAGAAAAAAATATTTGAAGCATTGTCTTTTAACTGGAGCTAGTCGTGATGTCTTAACTATTTCAGAAGAATGTCATGAGGAAAATCATGCTCCAGGAATTCAGCTTGCTATGTGGGTATGTGTTTGTAAATAATTACAGATGGCACACTTATAAGATGCCAGAACTGTTTCTTCCTCTCTACCACTTTCTGTTGTACCAGGACTTTGGACAATGTGATATCAAAAGGTGCACTGGTCGAAAACTTGCCAGATTTGGATTCTTAAGGGTAAGTGTCTTGTCCTTTGCGATGGTTTGATTGATTTACATTATATGTCCCTTGTGGATGCTGGATAAAAGTTTATATGAAACTCAATTCATTTTTCCTTGACTTCAAATTAGATTGAAAATTTATTCTCCTTTCGGTGATAGAATCTAGCATCTAAAGATTTGTATAAATATACTCTGAAAAAAATTACATATGTTGGCATGTGGTTGCTTGAATCAAGGATTGTCATGCCAGACATATTGTGCTGGCATTATATTTGCACCAATTCTCTCACATACCTTGCCAAGGGTCCTAGAGATACAAATCAAGATCCTTCTATCAAGATGACCATCTTGGCATGGCTTGGTGAAAGATCTTTTGATAAATTCTATATAGTTTTCTGGTACAAGTCTAAGACCCATCGTACATTTTTTTTTTTTTTTCCAATTTATATCATGGGGCACGGAACCAATATGGGACATTCAAAGCCACCACTGAGTCATATTAGGGAAAGTTCCATAGGATGATTCAAAATGTGCTCCCTTTTCCATAAGGTCATATCTGGGGGCTATTTAAACTAAGTAATGATTATTAGAAAATATCTACCCCTTGGAAGTATGAACACTCCTGCCTTCAAATAAAAAAGCTGTGAGAAGCACAATAGTAAAGCAAAATACAGTCTGCTCTTCCTTTTTTGTGACAGGCAATTATATTATTCATTATGCTCTTGCATTACTGTCATTTTTGACATACTGGTTTTTAAAATACTGACTAATGTAAATAAAATCTTACAGGAATTGCGGGTAACTAATGGTTTTGGTGGCGTTGTCCTAAGGTACTTATGAACTCATTGCACAAAAGAGTTCTCTGACCTATATTACCTCTGTAATATCATTGCCAATAAATGCGTGTACATGTATTCTTTGATTGTATTACACCATATCGTCATTACACTTCTTGAAGAAGCATTCAAGAGCCCTTTTTGTATCGTGTCATTGAATGATGTGGTAGCTCATCTCCTACCGACGTACAATTGTCTGAGTCTTCTGCAGGCTTAATATTTTAAGTTTTGAAGTATGCAATTTTATCACATTTCGACATCCCTTCACTTTTTTCTGCATTTGTCTGCAGTCCAGTTGGGAAACAATGCGTCTCCAAGGAAGATCAGCCTTTAATCAAGAGGAAAGGACTTGCTGTGGTAGATTGCTCATGGGCGCGCCTGAATGATGTTCCTTTTATTAAACTTCGTTGTGGTGCCCCTCGCCTCTGTAAGATCTGCAATAGCTTTTTGATGATGTCTTTTTTCTTCCTTGTGATAATTGGACCAATGTTCTTAATCATTTTTTTCTCTAAAGAAAAGCCGAGACATATACAATTGTAAATGAGGGGTATGCTGAATTTGAGCTTCAATCTGATAGACTGTTACCTTTTCCGACTGAGATGTGTTTTCACTATTAAATTACAAGGTTTTTATTACTTCTCATTATTGCCGTCATTAATTGTCCACAGTTCAGTTTCTGAGTGGTCAGAATCATTTTTAGAACTTTTGAGCTAATTACCTAGTTTTCTTCCTTTTTTTTTGTCCTATAGTTCATGGAAATCCCCTAAAAATAGTTCTCTTGTTGTCTGTAATTCTCTTGCCGTCTGTCATATGTAATATGATAAGTCTTCAAACTTATATGTGATTTATCCACTTGATGCAGTGCCTTGGTTGGTGGCAGCAAACCCAGTGAATTATGGCCATCCATGTGAATTATCTTGTGTTGAGGCTTTGTCTGCAGCTTTAATAATTTGGTACAATCTCTAGCCCTTTCCTTGTCTTGATGGTGGATGTTGCATGATAGTCTTAGAACTGTTAATCATAAGCCAAAACAATGTTGCAGGCCGCCTTGCACTTGCCATTCAAGTTTATTGATCAAATATTCCAATGACTTGTTGGAACACTGTTTGAAGATATGGATGATTCGCTCTTGGATTTTATTGTCTAATACATGGTTTACTTGATAGGATCTCTTGGTTGAAGGGGTTGATTCTTTGTATATTATCACAGCTTAGTTTCACTTTCTAAGTTAAGAGGGGATTTAGTTTATTTCTTCTTTCCATCTTCTACATGGTCTTTTTTTTCCTTGTGATCCTGAAAATGGAATGAAACTATTGAGGCATACTCTATTTGTATCCTTTCACATTTCACAGTGGGTGTATAATTAATTGCCTGTTACACAATTAAGTGCCTGTGTATGAATGCAATTCAAATCTTATTCCTTTCACATTTCACAGTGGGGAGGAGGAAATGGCAAATCTGCTGTTAGGCAAATTCAAGTGGGGTCATTCATTCTTGTCTCTTAACAGGTATGTGCCCTCCACTTGGATGCTTTTTAAATTCAGTGTAGGATTATCACTATTTTTTTAAAGAAGTCACAGTCACACTTGACAATCATCGCCACTTGATTCTCCATGACTACGGTGCATGGGAGTTACTAAAGTTACAATTTGGATGATTACCTTGGAATTCGAAATAAGTTTGACCAAATCAAATGTTAATTTCAGACTAGTGCGTGCACCTTGGCTACCAAATGACTTGGTCATTGCATGTAAATTTAAGAACATAACGATGAGCTTTGCGCCCCTAGGCAGGAAATCACTTCATGTATCAGATTGTATGTTGTCTACCTACTCATGTCTGACAATATGCTAAGTGCTTTTCTTCTAAGACAGGGCTTCAGGAGGTTGACTTTTTCTGTGTTCAGTTCTTCCTTTCATAAATGTAGTTGGTAATAGCCTTTTTGATCCTAATTGACCATCCCCAACTCAAAGAGAGGAGAAAGGAAAAAGATATTACAATAAAATAACAGCCAATGCAGACAACTCACAAATGGGGGGAAGCCACTTATTTAGAAATCATCAACATGGTATACTTTATATATTGAGTTCAAATAATGTACTTCCATTCTTTCACCCTGCAGGGAACTACTCACTGCATATTCCCAATGTCAGACAGGATCGGAGATCATATCTGTCCAGAACTCCTGGTTATCTAGTAATGCACGAGTACCAAAGCCCCCACAAGGCGTAACAGGTATGATCATACTTCCTGTTGGGATGATTCTTTTTCTGTTGAGAATTTGTTTAGAGAGAAGCTTGGCATGCATATTAGATGTGAACATAGCACATCAATATCATGTTTCTATGTGCCTTTGACTTTTTATTGAATGAATTTGTTTTGAGCTCATTAGTTTCATGGTCATTATCAGAAACTGAAAGTAGATACCGTCTATGCTGCAGATAGCGCTCAGTCGCCTCCAGGCGACGAGCAATCTGGTAGCGATTCAGACGATGGATTACCGCCCCTCGAAGAGAACTTGAACCACTTGACATTACAAGAGAGTGAAGAAAGCGAGGAAGATAGTGAGTGAAAGGAGGTGTTCTCCGGCCTTGCGGTAATACACTATTTCAACTTCTATGGACAAACATGCAGTTTTAACTGTGATTTGGTAGTAGAGTTGGTTTTGGGATAAGCTGGATGTATAGTTTTTGTTTGCTGCAGTTGTTTTTTCCCATTGAACATACACAAATTACAAAATCCCATTATATTCTGATCAAAATGTGTCAAAATGATATTTTTATTTGTAACTTTTATTAAAATCCTTTGATCTTTCTCTATAAGAAGAATAGTAATCATTTCATCTCTTTTTAACTTAATCATATCTATAAGTAGATGATAAAATAATAGATAATTTGATAAATTGATAAATTTATCAAGTTCTCGTGACATAATTTGATAAATTGTTAAATTATAAATTATTCAGATGAGGTAGAGGGTTATGTTAGGTCACTGACAATTAGTATAAAATTAGATTAGATTTTATTGATATTGTTGTTTTTATTGACCAATGACCTGCTCTTGTGGAATTCAATAGCAATACAACTAGAATTCCTATGGCATTATTAAAGGTTACACATTGTTTTCTTCACTTAAAAAGGCAATTGGGAAAAATACCGTGGGAATTCCAAGTATCATATCGTGATGGAAATTATGACAGATTTAGAAAGTAATAATACCAGTCGAAGCATGATAAATAAGGCGACATAACCTTCGATTCATCAAGTTCTCTTGCACATTGTTCATCATATGAGAAAAGAAAGAACACATGCACCAGGAATAGCATTCAAACTGTTCGACCAATTTCCTAGCTGAAGAAAAACAACTACCAAATCGAAGAATGACTCGAAGGCGAGATTTTTCTTGCTTTGGTGTTTCACTGCAACGCGACGGTGGCGCCGACCTCCTTGAGTTTGGCGGCGATCGCCTCTGCCTCCTCCTTGGTCACCCCCTTCTTGAGCACCACGGGGGCCTTCTCCACCAACTCCTTGGCCTCCTTCAGCCCCAGGTCGGTGAACGTCCTCACCTCCTTGATGACCTTGATCTTGGCCGCGGCATCGAACTTCTCGAGCTTGATGTCGAACGCCGTCTTTTCCTTTTCCTCGGCCGGCTTGGCCGCCTCGGCCCCCGGCCCGGCTCCCGCCCAGGGCACGCTGCCGCCGGCCTGGACCAGGTGGTTGAGGCCGAGCTTGAGGCGGAAGAGGGTGGAGTAGTCCTTGCGCTCCTCCTTCGTGAGAGAGAGAAGCACATCGGCGATCCTCTCTAGCTTCTGGCTCCGGGACTCGGCGGCGGCGCCACCGGAAAGGGCGGAGGAGGAGAACCGGCGGACGGTAGAGGAGAGGAGGAAGCGGAGTGGCATTTTGGGTGGCACTTCGGCTTCCTATTCGGTTCGCTTAGGGGAAGAAGGCCACGCGACTCCACGGAACCGACGGGGGAATGCGTTTCCGTGGGTGGAAACCAAATTCCAAAAACATCTCTTTCTCAAAACATTTCTCTCGGTTTGTTGTACAAATAAATTATCATAAATAACTGTTCATCAATACAATTTAGACATTATTTGAGTCCAATTTAGACATTGGTTTGTTGTCGACAATCGAACCGAACTCAAGCTTTCCGCTAACAACATGGTTAGCCTAATCGAGTCAGATGTGTGGTCGATACAGTTATAAATGGGACAGCCGAACTCCAACCTCTCAAATCGCAAACCCTCCCCCGTTCTGTTCTTGGAGCGCTTATCGACATTTCCTCGGCGGAGGCGTGAGAAACACCGGCGGGCCGGAGATCGAAACCCTAGAAGAAGCGAGCGCCATCGTTCTCGCCCCTATAGCCGGCGAGTGAGTTTGATTGTAACCCTGGAGATGTTGTTCGTTGATGTCGCATTACGGAAGGTTCTTCATCTTTTTTGTTCGTTCCTATTTCTCTGACCTGGAATTAGGGTTTTCTGTCCTGTTCTTGTTGACGTGAGCTCGCGATCTCCCACGAGCGGTTGCCCTACGAGAGCTGATTGCTCGGTGAGTGCTTTTAGTCACGGAAAGATTGATTCTGCACTGGAGCTTTAGGATTTGTTATTCATGGCAGGCGCATTTTGCTAGGTTCTTGATATTTTATTCGTCTCGATCGAATCCCTATTTTCTGTACTGGATTTAGGGTTTTTCGTCCGGTTCTTTCCTGAGCTCTCGATGGGCCACGCGTGGTTGCCCGTGCGAGAGCTGATTGCTTGGTGACTGCTTTTCTCGCTGAAACAGTCGTACCCTTGGATCTGTTATCCATTGATGTCTCATTCCGAAAGTCTCTTGATCTTTAATTTATTTCGAGTTAATGCCTGTTCTTTCTGTCCTGGAATTAGGATTCTCCGTCCGATTCTTTCATGAGCGCTGGATTGCTTAAGGATTTGCACTGTGGAGGATTCATGATTTCCGTGGGTGGTTCAACTAACTCTTCTTATATATTTGCTCTCATCGTTCCTGTATAGGCTGGAACGAGTTAGGATTCCCGGCATTTGTTATTAATTGATGTTGTTTACTCGGAGTTTCTTAATTTTCCTGGTAATTTTTTTTCTTAATCATGCTTCACACCGTAACCAAAATGTATAGCGATGGAGTAGGTTTTCACGGGTCTTATCCTCCGCCATGAACAGCGATGGACAGACAAATCTATATACAAATCATCCATGACAGTGTAGTGAAAAATTGTGAAAGCTTGATGATTTTATTCTTTCATTGAGAAAATATCTATTTATATAGATTTGAGTAAGATTTTATTTTAAAATAATTCAAATCATGTATATATATTGTGATGATTGATCATAATATAAAGTTGTCATTCTATATATGTCTTTATCATCATCCTTTATTATGCTTTTTTAAGATTAAATTTTTGTCAATAATATTAATCTTGAAACATTGTAATTGAAATATTTTATGAGTGAGAGGTTTTGTGAAGTAATTAGCTAATTGACCAGAAATATGAATGTGGAAAAAACATAGTTGACGTTTGATAATTTAATCTCCAATAAAGTGAAAGTCGATGATAATATATTTCATATGAGAATGAAATATTGAGTTGAAGGACAAATAGGTGGTATTAACATTATCAAAGTATTTGAAGTGGATTGAGAAGCATATTAAGTTTGTGTATTAGATTGATAATCTAATTGTGTTCTACAATATTAAAACTCTTAACTTATTAAGTTTACTTCAAGGAAGAGAATGTTAGTTGAAGTAGAGGTTCTATCATTAGTATTATTTGTCCAATCAACATTGGTGAGGAATGAAGATGAAGGGATGAGTGTTTACGAAGAAAAAATTCACGATTGAAAGTCTCTTTAAAATATCACAGGATATGTTTTAATACAGATTAATATGTAGTAGATGGATGATGCATGAATTATGATAATTTGTTGATTGTAAATAAAATATTTAGATGTGTAAGAGATAAATATTATAAGGAACCAAGTACTTGGTATTGTGTGATGATGATATAATATAATTTGAGTGATTTAGTGGAGAAGAATAGGGCGGCAACTTCTTTGACATCATATAATATAATATATCATGGGTATCACTAATAGTTTGGATGAACATGTGAAGTATTCATGATGTTGCTTGAGGCCAATTGGGTATAGTAGGAGATTTGGATCAAGATCGATAAACTTTTGTTGTGTTCAATTTTATCACAAAGCTAACAGATAACCTTTTAATGATTAATATTATTGAAACGTTAGAGATGTTGATGATTATAGTGATTATTGTATTTGAAGTTATTTTTTGAGTTGTTTGGGTTGAAGTTGCCATCATAGTTGGAGAGTTGATAGTGTAATGGAGTTCTTGTTCGGTCTTATGTTGGAGTTCTTGTTCGATCTTATGTTGGAGTTCTTGTTGTTTTGATTATTTTTTTATATTTTTGATTAAATTGAGCTGTGATAATTGGTTTTATCTTTTCCTTTTCTCGTTTCAAATATATTTTATTATCAATCAACTTTTCATATAGTTCTTTAAATGTCACTGATGAGTCATGTGATTAAATTATTGTCATAAACTAAGAGTATGAATAATCACTTGTATATCACTTAGGGGATGATTTATTAAAGTCAACTATCTATAATAATTTTTAGATGTTACGTAATACTTTTCTCTTAGGTCGTTTGGATGGACAATTGAGGGAGTCATTGATGTGGCCTAATAAAATCATATTCGAAGAGAAGGTTGATGCTTTTGGAGAGTTGTGATTAAAATTGTTGTATTAGAGATGAATCCTCTAGGTTGAGAGATGAATCCTCAACCTAGAGATGAATCCTCAACCTAGGTCGAGAGATTAAAATGGTTTCATATAGTTCTTTAAATTGTTGTATTATTAGAGATGAATCCTCTAGGTTGAGAGAAATTATTATTTTTTGAAAAAATAATTATCGAAGCATCAGACCTAGAGAAGCGATAGACCTAGTCTTGTAGGTTGAGAGGAATTATTGTTCCTTAAAAAAAAAATCATCAAAGCATCAGAGCAGCTAAAGAAGGATGAATGAAGAGTTGGATGTCGGATTGATCCAGACATCCATGCAGGAGGCCAAGCACATTAGATGGTGGGTTTAAAGTAGATCATATCAGATTATACATTATCGTTGGAGGAGGTTGATCTGATATGTGATCAGTATGATGGTGAAGCAAATTAGATTTGCTAGAGCATGTCACGAATGGGAGATCACGCAGAGGAATCGTATGTCTTCGTCTTCGAGTAAGCGGAGCAGATTGACAATAGATCAGTCGTCGAAAGTGTTCGCTGCGTTGTGAGGAGGAGGATACACCGATTGACAGGAAGCGACGGTGAGGAAATGGTGCAGTTGCTGCAGCGGTGTGGAAGCGATGCTGCTATTGCTGCAGCGGCGACTATTGCTACAAATCCGAAAAAAAAAGAAGCACTGTTGCTACAACAATAATAGCAGTAGGTGAAGGGAAAAAAGATAACACGGGCATATTGCCATTGGATAGAGAGAGGAAATTTTAATGCTATGGTAGATCAACGAGGAAGTAGTAGTATTTGGGGGCAGCAAGATGAAGAATAGTCGTTGGCGTCGGGCAACGAGTCTTACTCGAAGAAAGAAAGTTTTAATATTCCTGAAAAATTAATATGAAAATTAGATGATTTTATTTATTAAAATAATATATATTTATACAAATTCGAGAAAAAAAGATTCTCTCGATCATAAGCTCAAAGTGACACGGAGAAGCGCGTCAAGCAGAGAAGACGCCATCAACGGCAGCGGAAACGAAGGAGCTCCCTGGTCGCAGAGCCTTCTCCGGCTCCTTCCGAGAGGAGACCTCCTTGGCCGTCCTCCCAAGGCTCGAACGAACCAAAGAAGCCGCGGACGACTCCTCTTGCCTCGCCCCCCCGTGGCCTCCTTCCTCCCAGCCCACCTTTCTGCTGCTGCTGCTGCTCCTCCTCTCGTAATCTTCCACCACCAGGAGAGCAATGTCCGCCATTCTCCTCTCTCCGCTCTGATGTGTGCCCACATCGTCCCGATCCACGGGTATGTCTACTTATACGCCCATCCGACTCACTTCTGATGTCGCGTAGAGGTCGGTGTGATTACGGATATGGGGCCTTGCGTGTGTCGTGACTTTGCCTTAATCTCGTGGGCTTGGTTTTCGACTAACACGTGAAGTAGCACGCATCTTCCGCTATTTTGTGCAGGACTTTCTGGTTTGCTCGGCGTGGAAAACCTGTGGCTGGCTACGAGGGCAGAGGGAGGAGTAGGGGCTAAATGTGGAAAAAAGGTGTAGCTCTATTCCCTGGTTTCCCTGGCGTGGAAAACCTGTACCTGTGGGTGGCTACGAGGGCAGAGGGAGGAGTAGGTGCTAAATGTGGAAAAAAGGTGTGCTCTATTCCCTGGTTTCCCTGGCGTGGAAAACCTGTACCTGTGGGTGGCGTCGAGGGCAGAGGGAGGAGTAGGGGCTAAATGTGGAAAAAAGGTGTGCTCTATTTCCTGAGTTCCTTGGCGTGGAAAACCTGTGGGTGGCTACGAGGGCAGAGGGAGGAGGGGCTAAATGTGTGCAAAACACAAAAGGTGTGCACTATTCCCTTGTTTTATATCACAAATGTTTATTAGCTTATATTTCCTTTTTCTTATTACCGTCAAAACTTTCTGGTATATTTTTAAATTACCACGGGATTTGGATATATCCGGTGGATGCTCTCTCACCGTATCATCTTATATCAATATTTTTTTTCTTGAACTCTTTTCATATAATTTTTTTTCTTCCTCTTCTTATTATTCTTCTCGAAGCATCTTTTATTATTAATAACACAAAATGATATATATATATATATATATATATATATACGACAACAGCTAAATAGAAGCAATGGAGTTCATGGAGTGTCTAATAAAAAGAGAAAAACTCTAGTGATCGATCTTAAAGCACATTACCGAGTCTAACTAACAAAGGGAAGTTTCCTCATAAACACTGAGCTTAATTGAAACCTTAAATCAAAACTGAAACACCAACAGCGATTCCTGAAAGAAGCATGGAAGAGGTTGAACGTTTGCACAGATGATCCGGATTGCAGGCGCTGCTTGCGGACCTATCGGTACGACTTCTGAAACCGGGCACGGGCGCCGCGACCACCGAACTTCTTGGGCTCGCACCGGCGGGGATCCGCGACGAGAAGAGTTCGGTCGTAGCGGACGAGGATGTCCTTGATCTCCTTCTTGGACTGCTCGTCGACGTACTTCTGGTGGAAGGCGACGAGGGCCTTGGCGATGCTCTGGCGGATGGCGTAGATCTGGGAGGTCTTCCCGCCACCGCGGACGCGGATGCGGATGTCGACGCCCGCAAACCGCTGCCGGCCGAGGAGGAGGATGGGCTCGAATGCCTTCAGGCAGAGGATCTCCGGCTTCACCAACTCGATCGGGACGCCGTTCACCTTGATCAGCCCGCGGCCGCGCTTACAGTGCGCCACCGCCACCGCCGTCTTCTTCCTGCCGAAGCACTGCACCGAATCTGTCGCCGCCGTCGTTGCCATCGCCGCCGCACCAACCCGGATGTAATGGGAGCCTCTTCTTAACTTAACCCTAGACACTTGATCAGCGTCCGCTATTTATAGAGCGGACCGGCTTTGGAAATGGGCAGCAATCGTGTTGTTGGGTCCGGTCGCGTTTGAGCGCTTTGGTCTTGGCTCGGGCCAAATCCTTTTTATAAATAAAGCATCCACGGGTCTAACCGTTATTTCGCCGCTCTCTACGTTAGCCCTAAGTCGAGTTCATCTATCAATAATATCTATAAGGATCATGATCTCAACATATACCCTAGAATATAAAATAATTTAGATGAATATTTCTCTTGTAGTTATGATCCCTTGTGTTCGTCCAAGTGATCAGCAATTTTCACTTGGCCGGGCTGAAAGCTATCGTGGCCGAAACAGTCGAAACAGAGAAATCAATCATTCACATAAGAGGAAGTCCATGGCAAGTGATGAACTTCGCGTGCTTGTATATATACACACAATGTTGATGATATACTGACTAAAAACAGCACTAGAAACACCGCCTGTGCAATACATGTGTGTAAATTGTCTTTGGAACATGTAGCTAAAAAGGACCAACGTAAATATGGCACGCTACTTGTCTCCAGCGCGCCATTCACAACAGTTTGGGCTCAGGCAGTAAATGCAACATACAAGAAGGTGGTGGCAACTTGCAAGTTGAGAACATAAACTGTGAACACAGAGGACACTTTGGAGAAGAATGTCCTGAATCTTTTGGGCGAGTTTAACAGAAGGTCCTGAATCTACACACGATCTCACTAACCTTGTTCTTTGTAAGGAGTCCAAATCAGTTTACTAACATCAACCTCCAGGCCTCCACGTCCAGCAGCCTTCAGGTGACGATCCAGGACCTTCGGGTCCGCACATATGACGTGCTGTCCCTTCCTGTACTGTATCAAGTCGAGAGTCTGCAGGGTGCTCAAGATGTCATCAGGTTTTATCGCGGTCATGTCACTGAGTTCCTGTTGATAAATCGAACTTGACAGTATTAGAGAACATATCAGGAGCAGCTGCTGCTGCCGTGCAAGTGTAACATTCTTGAACCTGAGAGCTTACAGGTTTTCTTGGCATATGTTTTATAGCTATCCTTTCTTTTATTGACAAAGAGATTTACGTTATAAAATAAATCATAACTTCATACATATATGTTCACTCTCATCAATATTATTAGCATGTAAGAATGACTGCTAAAGAGCAGCTGCTTGAAATAAGGAATTCATTGTCATGCGACACAGACATGCTCACACTAAGAAGGAACATTTACCAAAAAGCTAAAATCGGTAATATGGATGGTTCTGGTGACAGCAGTTTTGCAAATGGAAAATATAAACGTTGCAAGGACAAATTGAGGTAAGAAAAACAGACATAGGATAAGAACAGAGGTGCACAAGGATGCTAACCTTGATGGAGATGTTGCCCTTGTGCTTTTTCAAAATGTCCAGAAGAACCCTAGTCCAATATCCTCTGTAGCTTAACAGTCCAAGATCAGAGAGTGGTCGCTCTGGGGTTCCAACTTTACCCTCCTTCTTTGAAAGTTCATAAGCTGTACAAGATTAAACTTGATCAGGCACATCATTATTAGTATACAATATATAAAAGTAGGTTAAAATGCATGTTATGAAGATTAAAAAAAAATTCTTTTACAAAGGGTATTAGGATACGAAGAAAATGTTTCGAGGAGCAACTCTGACAGTCAATAAAGTTCAGAACAGTTCAGAAACTTCATCATCAATAGAAATATGGAATCTCTAGCAGAATCATCTTCCACCAACAATCTTCCAGGCAGTGACTTTTCCTTGGCCCTCTTCCTCCTCCTTGATGGTCAAAACCAACAAGAACACCAAACTCTGGAACCTCACTTTTCAAAATATAGCATCCAGAAGGAAGAAGAAAAGAAGAGCATGAAATGGCAAAAGCTGACAAAGGAAAAGAGCAGCGATGAAAAGAAGGGGTGATGGCGTGAAACAGGATTGGACAGACCAAGCATGGCCAAACATGCTAAATATTTGCCTCTGCAAGTCAGATCTCAGTGGTTACATGACTTTTTATATACATCTCCACAGCATGTCTTACATAATGCTAAAAACATCATCCATCCAGTATGAATTATCAATAAGAAAATAATCAAAATCATTATGATGTTTAGCTGTTGCATAACCATGAAATCACCATCCAATCAGTGCGATCATTCCTTTACCAATATGAACTATGAAATATCACATTTGCTGGATCAATGCCATCGGCATCAGTGTCAATTATGTATTGACAACATCAACATACACCAAAGACAACAGATGGCACCAACACCATAGTCTTACTACCTTGCAGATAAATCCAAAAATTCATCATAGTATCCACTGTCCACTGTCTTTAGAACATCTAATGACTGGGACTAACAAGAGAAGTCATAACAAAAAGAATACATGGGCGGAATCTTGCAGTAAAACCACCCAGAATTACACTGGAAAGGGCCTAGTGCTGAAGACTAAAGCCAAATTTACATGGAGGTCTATAAAAATGTGCCATCCTATCGATAAGATTTATGAACAGTAAAAACAAGATAGGGAAAGATAAGAAGCTTACAGAACGCAATTAGAAATTTCCCATATCCTTTCCTTTGGTAAGGAGGAAGAGTAAGAATGCATGCCAGATTGTATGATTCTTCTGAATGTTTTTCCTTCATAACAAAGAAAATAAATAGAATGTTTAGAATGTCAACTGACAAAATAAATGGAACAACAGACAAATTGGATACTTCAGAGTAGTAAAAGGATGATAAGGCAACAGATAGGGGCAGATTGCAGGTTTTGGCTTGTTTGCATTATGGATATAAAATATTTCTTTAAAAGCAATTCAGTTTACTGTTATGCAGAACAAATCTATTGTAGATGGTGAGATTGGTGCCAAGACAAAGTTGATCCTCTGCAACCCTAAGTGTTTGAGATGCAAGTCAGTATAAGAGTTTCTTAGATAAGACCTTAAACCCTGCATTGGCAGGAGGCTTGTCTGATGAGCTGTCCTATTTTTATGGTGCATAACAATAATCAGTAGCCTGTATATCATTATCTCATAATTCTTTCATCTACACGTAGTTCAGATTTCAGCAACGCATATACACTTTATCATTTCCATAAAAAAAAGGTCCATAAGAAATGATACCTTTGAGAAATAACCAACCATGTGGCAGCCTCGATCATCACATTCACAAAGAACATAGAACAGAAACAAATCAACATCATAATAGAGGGTCTTATGGTCCAGAAACAATTTAGCCAAATAGCAAAGATTCTGCCCATAAACCTTGTTCTTCTTGCCATCGACCTGTATAAAAATTACCATTAAAGACATCAAGTATATCCAAATACAATATTAAAGATGGCCAAGAAGAGATATAAGAAGAACAAAGAAGTAGGACTCCTGAGAAGCATGGTTCAAATGGAAAGGTTAGTCATATTGGTGGGCATATTTAATAAACTAAGAAGCTTAAAAGTTACTTAGCTTTGACAAGCTTGTCATGCAATCAAGCATTGCTCATTAGAAAGGGAAAGGGAAAAGAAACTCATTTCTGGAAGATAGATCAAATCCAACGAAAAAAAGCATGAACTACAAGGATATAAAGTTCACCTCAAACATAGAAAGGGTGCCACTTCTATAGATTTCATCACCTGGAGGATGCTTAAGGTCGCATTTGCGCTGCAAAGTGAACACGAGCATGAGAAAAAGCCAAGAAGCCTTAAAACAAGTTGCATAGAAACCAAAAACAAGCAATAGAAGAAGTCATAGCTAACAGATTACAAGGTTGAACAAGCAAAAAATATAAAGATAATTCTAGTCTCAGGGATTAGTCACTTGTAGACAACACAAATAGAAAGATGCTAGTGTATGGCTGTTCAGAAGTTACATCCAGTAGGTTATCCATTCATAAGGCCAAAGTAATGTTTCGTATCATACTGTGTCCCAAGATAACAATTATCTAGCCATTGCCTCCTGTAACTATCGCTTTTACATTCAAGAGTTCAAGATGCTTCACATGGGGTCTCTTCTGTAATTATGGAATTCATTTATCCCCTTGGAACCATGATTTGAATTCCTTATCCTGATTTATGATACTTTTTCTAACTTTAGTGATCAAATTATCAACATCATTTATTTTTATAGATATAAATCAATCAATGAAAATAATTTGTCAGTTAATTATATCATACTCTTTGTTTATGGCAGGCACCTCAATTTATTTTTGTGTTCTGCTTCTTCCAAAATGTTTAGGAAACCACTTCAAAAAGGACAGTGGCGGGTGCGGTCTATAACACAAATAAACTTTCATTCATGGCAGCCGCTCAAGGACGGATTGGCAGTTCTGTGATTGGTAACTACTTCCACCTAAAATTCATTCAAAAGTAGAAAACCGTTTACACTGCTTCTTGTGGAAGGTATATATACCTTTATATGTACAGATTATTCATAGAAAAGCTATCATTTTAGTGGATTCTGGTGGAGATTTCATGTCTGCCCTCTGTAAGCAGCCGTTTTTACTTGTAATTATAATGCAACCAGGAAACCTAGAAATTATGGTCTCTTCTTTATTTCCTATGTTTTTCCCTTTAGTAGTTCTGGTACAAAAAAGAGCAATTGTTGGTGCTACAGTAAAGTCACTTTGTCACAACAAGGGTAACCAAGATTAGATCATGAAAATGACTTATCTGCTTGCAAGGATAAGGTTCCATACATTATCCTAGACCCCATAACAGTGGAAGCTATGTGCATTGAGCTGCCTTTCAGTAATTAACTATAATGACAATATTTACTCCACTTGGTTGTATGAACATTTTACACCTTAAAATTAAGTTCATTCAAAAACAGCTAGACTGAGAGCAGAGAGTAAACAACTAGGGCATTTGCATAACATTTATACCAATTAAAAAATTCACGTTATGATGTGTAAGTTCATAATGTTCAAAGCAACTCAAATACAAAATTGTACCCAATTACATGTTCTGGCACTAATGCCATCTTTTGTTGTTAAATCACTACATTGTCTCCCATGTAACTGAAAAAAATCCTGCCACAAAATAAATAATCTTAAATGGAAAAACTCGGCACCATGGAATAATCTTGATAAATTGAAACCCTACCTAAAAGTAAACATGTATCTACCTATATCTTTGACTTACCATATGTTTTGCTACATCAAGAGACAACAGTCTAGTCATTGATATAAAACCATCTTCATTTCTAATATCTCATTATCAAGCACCTTTCTGTGAATGTGTAATAAATACTAAGAACCAGACAAATCTCATCAAGAGAGACAATTAAAGAATAACCATTGTTTATCATATCAACCTCCTAGTCCATCAAGCTAAGCCTATTATCCATTTATGGAACTCCTATAACTCAGCGAAACTAAAGTCATGCTAGGAATTTCCACAGAAGGTAACAGTTAAAGTAACACCAAAATAGTACACTCATTAAGCTCGAAACAACCTATTTCAATATGCACATGTAAAGGAGTGCCACCAGCTAATTCATTCAAGAGAATAGATAAACAGTATGCCTGACATAAACATAGAAAAGGATATAGAAATAGTAGCTCACCATATGCCTCTGAAGCTGTTCTTTGCGCTTCATGAAATTGAGGCAAAATTCACAGAAATACAGTTTTGGAGAGTCACTGTACTCTGGCGGAAAAGGAGAGAAGTACCATGTATCAATCTCATATCTGCCAAGTTCTATTTTTGCAATGTTTTTGACTTTTGTGAACTCCTCATGTTCCCGTAAACTAGCAGCATCAAGCTCCTCGTGACCATGCTGAACAGAAAAACAAAAACATAAACAAAAACAAAAAGACAAAAAAACAAAAGTTAACATAAATCATAAAGCAAGTATGTGGAACAAAATCAAATGACCTAGGTCTATATGCAAGATATTATCAGTTTTCAAAGATTTAACCTCTAAATTTTGTATCAATCTATCCTGTTGTTCCTTGCACCCAGTTTCACAAGCATAATCTACAAAAGTAAAAGATCACACTTTTTTTTTTTCCTTTTAAAGAACTAAAACTAATTTGCTCTATTAAATCATCTATGCATTTTCCCACTCCAAAATATATGTATCTGTCTGAACAAAAAAGAAGCAAACGGAAAAGTGAATTTGATTGTGGACTTGCTACAGTATTTCCGGCTCACATGTTTAGACCCTACAATACCAACTGTTTAAGCTTAGATAGTGTGCAGATGGAAATTTCTTAGTGGAGACAACATTAGACCTAGCATATCTATAGCCACAATGAATGATGCTCCACAGTAACAGAATGAAAACTAAAATTTCATAAGAAAATGCAAAAAAAAGACTTGGTAAAAAACAAAGTGCTAAATTTGATGTAAATTTTACTTAAAAAAAATATAGATGAGCTTATGCAGTATTATGGAATTGCAAAATTAATAGTGTGGTTTAACAAGATTGCCGATAATTTATTTTGCTGTAAAATACCTCAACATGTGTTTCATCAATCTTCCGTTTCTGGTGACGTGTCATTTTCAAGCTTGTTACCTGAAAAGGATCATGCAGGAATACTTGTAAAGCCTATTCCATAAAGAGTAACATGTAAAAAAATGATTTAGATATAGCAAGTAGAAAAATTAAATACAAATAGCAAGTATACTGAGAGAAACCACAGGAAACTACAATAGATGTCCAAGCAAACACAGAAACATGGCCATTAGAATAAAGATGCAGAATCTTGCACTCTTGGGACCCTCTTCCAACTAAGAGTCCAAAGTCATAAAAAATAAACATCTATAGCACATACTTGACGTGAAATGGAAAACAAAACTAATTGAAAAATACCTTGTCCTCCACCTTCTCATCAACATCAGTCTCCACTGTATCAAGATCAAGTTGCTCAAGTTTAACCCACTCATCAAGCCTCCTATTGACTGTCAAAACAAATAACTAAAAGGTTTTTAGTTATTTCACCTCAAGCGAAAGTGAATAAGAAACTTGATGGCTAAGCCTATTAAAAATATATTAAAATGAGGCCCGTAACAGTACTCAGATCAAGCAGAAAGCAAAGTTTTTATATCCAGAAAGTGAAATGTCGCACTACAAAATTAACCATAGGTACCTGCTATTTTTCTCTCAGATTATTCTTTGAAACAACAACCACAAGAGACAAAAAACTTACAGTTTCTGCTATACAGATGTATAAGAACATTGTTTCATGCTTCCTTCCAACTCAAAAATGGGGAACACTTAAAACATCCTGAAGAATATTCTAGAGAGCAATTATCCCAGAGTTCAACATCATTAATTTATTTTGTTAAAATGTTGTCTATTGATTAATCAACATTTGTCTCACAAAGCATAACTTCCTTGATAATTGATTTTTCTTTTCCATTTTGACATAAGGGTCATCCTAAACCACAAATCTCTTAAGATGCCATTCTTCAATTTAACCATTCATTGTTAGCTCTCTATTATACTTTGTTCAATCTCATTTTTCATGTTGAGTGACAGATCCAAGTAAGTCTTTGCATTCTACAACTTCTTTTGAATTATATTCAAGTATATATTTGTTCTTTCCTCTTGGTGTTACAACAGCTCATTTTGCAAATCAGATATCATACTTTGCCTTAACGTTTAATATCCAGCCTTGATATCCAAATATCTAATTGCAAAATATTTCCAACTCATGCAGTAATTTGATTCAATATACATTTATAATAAAAATCATGTAGTGGACCCATTATCCGTCCTCTTGCAGACTTACATTTCTAATATGAAAAAAATGAAGAATCTTATTTTTTATACATGATATGGCTAGATTTAACAGTCAATCAAAATACATGAAGCCCAATCAAGTCATGGGTGACCAATCGATGCAGACATGTGGAGTCCAGTGGACTATGAGAACCCAGTTAACCCAGTGATGGCATGACACCGGGTGCGGAGACCAATCCATAGTTGTTCCCAAACTGCATCAGGTTCTCAATCATGATAGCATTCGATTGAAGAACCAGGTGGGGTCAGCTTCGTCACGATGGGTGACCAAAAATGTTACTAACAATACATATCAACTATGGATGACCTAAGCATTACGCATGATTAATCTGCAGTATAAATTGTGAAATTTTGCATTATATTGACTACAGAAAAATAAAAACTATTTTCTTCAGAAAAATAAAAGGACCTAACTACTATCACTTTGCAGATGTTTCAGTTCAAAAGGTTCCCATCACAAATTGCAGCACTGACGCCTTCAACTAAATAAATACCTCTAAAGATTGTTACAGCAAGTCACAACTTGACACTTTGTCCTCAGTTCCAACTTTTCCAACACCTAATTTACCAAATCATCTAACACTGGCCGAAACCCTAATCTCGACCCCAACCCTAAATCTACCCTAGAACTTAATACAGAGATGGATGCAAACGACGGGGGAGCGAGGCGCTTACACTCGGTGTAGTGAACGTAGTACTCGTAGTCGTTGGGGCCGCCCGAGCAGGTCTTCCGACGCTCGATGACCTTGACGGGGTGGGGCTTCTGATCCCGCCACCGGCACATCACCCTCGTGCCGACCTCCAGCGGCAGCACTGCCGCCGATCCCGACCTCCCTCTTCTAGTCGGATTGTCTGGCCCGCCGGTAGCGGTAGGGACAGCAGCGACGCCGTTGGAGGGCGGGGCGGCCGCCCCGTCCTCCGCCTTCACTTCCTTCATCGAGCCCATCGAGGACCGGTGGGGACGGTTGTCGTTTCGGGTTTCAAAATGTTAGTAGGTCGCGAGATTTGGTTCGGTTTGGTCTTCACCACTTGCTACGTGTACGCCCGCTTTTTAATGGCTCGGATAGTTTCGATCCCATGTCTTTTCTTAGCCAGCTTGTAGCGTTTAGGTTCATTTAGGTGTTTATTTGGACTACCATTGGTCCATGGCATCATATATGGCGGTGGGACCCATCAGTTTGTACGGTAGATACACTGTTGCCTCCCTTGGTCGCAACAGGGGGAGTCGGCAGAGAAGAGAACAGAGAAGGCGGTTCTTGATCTCGGGAGATCGCCACGTTATGCCTACTTCGCCTTCGCCTGCTCCAATGCCCTCTTCCCTTCCTGTCTCCCGGAAGAGTACGCGTTGCCTGGTCGGCACGGGATCTCGGATCCCGGTGATGAGGGCATACGCTTCTTGGATTGGCTCGGCTCTGCCTGCACATCGGTTTGGCAGGTTCAAGAACCCTCCCTGTCCGTCTCCTGTCTTTTTTTTAGTCGAGTTTTCTTTGAATTTGTTGTGTGAATCTTGAGGGGTCTTCTTCCCTTGGGATGTTGATGGAGTTAATGTGAGTTGGGGCTTGGATCGATCCCTTGCACGAGTTTAGCTACAATTTCTCGCTTCAGGGGGTCATCCATTGCCCCCTAGAAATAAAAGCATTTCTGCTGATGAGTTGATGTGGGAATTCTGATGACGAGATATCCTGAAAAGCCTCACCTTCTTCATTTTAAACATAAATCTCGCAGAATTGCATGATCTGTAAATTTGCATCAGATGATTCTTGATCCCATTATTCTGAAGTGATGCGACGTTGTTCGAATCAGTAAAGAACAGTGAGAATTTTAATGATACCACCAATGAGGCGTGTGTATTTTTCTTGTTCACAAAGTAGTATTGAATACTGGAAATTGAATGTTTTATTTACTTCCTAATGTTTTACTACTTATACCTCCAGGAGGAAGCCCAGGGAAGATGGAACACCTTTCTCAGGCCAGGTACCTCTACTTATGGCAATTCAAATGGAGAACACTAAATACTTTAATGAAACCGGCTAGTAGTTTGAGGAACCATTTCAGGTTGCATCTTGGGTTTTTCTTATAGGAGCATCCCCTTGTCGGAGAGTATGCTCTATCTGAGACACAAATGGATCTTCTCCCTTATGGTCTAAGGTGACTCAGATATGGTAGGTTATATTGTGGGCCTAATGTTGCTTCTAAATAAATTTTGATGATCAGAAAAGAACATATGGATGGTGATGGGTTCTGATGATTTATGTATTGAACTGTTGCTGATAAGAGGGAAGGTATTTACATTTGGCATTATGTCATCCTATCATCGTTGTTCAAGTAATTTGAATGAATTGTCGCTTTCTCATAAGCTCAAGGTGCCCAGCAGTAGACTTTTCAGCTATGCATTCAGCACTTCTTCATCTACCAAGAAGTTAAAGTAGTGATTATCCCTTTGCAGCCAAACCTAGATTGAAACTATGTCTAAAACATAATAGCTTACATGCCATTTTTTGTGGTTTGCCATGGAATTTTTTTATATTCTGGGTTTATGCTTCAAGGACTATATTTAGTTACTAGTAATGTGAAAATAGTGCTTGATTTGTTTGATTTAAGTGCTACTTTAGTCGTTTGCAAAGTAACAATGTTGGTTGCCTTTGTATGTACATATGAGAAGAGCTTCAAATTGATTCTCTTGTTTGTGTTAACTTTTTACTTTGATAAAATGGCAGGTTAAATAGGGAACCCTTATTTAAATTCAAGAAAAAAGGACAAGGATGGCGTCATCTTGACGTCCACAGTTGCAAAAACACAGTTGGACTCGAAACAGTTAAGACAATGGGTAGTGAATATGGGATACATAATGCTGATGTTTCTCACCCGTATGATGCGTAGCTGCAGGTGATCTCATATATGCTATTATGGGAAGCAGAGTCTCTTTGTCATGTATCTATGTAGAGAACAAGATGACAATAGATAACACTCGAGGAACCAAAAGTCCTATATAATCTTCCTCGCCACCGTTCCAGTCAGGTATCCTATTATAACAAATTTCCATGTCTTTGGTTTTTCTTAAGCAATTCTTTGTTATCATCTCAATGAAAAGTGGCTTTAACTTCTAGAATTGTCATCCAAGGTTGTCCTAGCCCTTTTTTTTTTTGGTGATATGGGAGTATCTTGGTCTGGTTGAAATTTACACATATTCGAAGGGTAAGAACCCAGATGACAAGGACCTGATGATCCTATTTTCCAAGAAGAGAACTGTGGAGGTCTTTCTGTAATAGGATTCACAAAGACCTGATAAAACAGTTTAAATAGCAAGTCTTCTCACATTCATTTTCTTCTCAGACTCCCAAGATGATTCACTTTCTAATTGAAACATGTTGGTCTGGGGTTCAAGTGTGAATCACAAACCATTCTGCTCCACCAGAGGCTCCCCAGTCTTCTCTTAACAAGACAGTGGAGGCTGCTGCCCTGATTGTTGCCTCCCCAAAGGCCTTCCAATCTGCTCTCAACAACGCAGTAGAGGTTGCTCCCCCTATTGCTGCTGCCCCTAAGGCTCCCCTCTCCTGGGCTGGTCTCCTACATCAAGCGCAAGGCACCAACTCCTGGAAGCCTAACGCTGCATGAGAGGAGAATATTTAACGCATTTAGGCAAGCTCAAAGTTGTTCCCTGATCTAAATGATGATGAAGTGGATATAGCAAAACAAGCATGGAGAACAAGTTTATATGAAAATTCTTTAGTAAAACTCCTTTGGATTCCATTAAAATAGCTCTTCCTAAACTGTGGCAGTTGAAGAAATCGATCCATGTTATAGACATGGTCGGTGGTTTCTTTTGCTTTAGATTTTAGTCGGAGGAAGAGAAGGATACTGTGCTCACAGGTGGTCTGTGGTTTTGGACTTCGGAGGAGACAAGCCTTGAGTCTAATTCCATAGAAGGAGAACTTCCAACTCCTTAAGGAGTTTGTTAGATTCGTACCCATCTAGGTACAATTTCTTGGGATACCCCCTTGAATTCTTACAGTCTAACATCTTATTCCAAATCGTTGCGATGACCGATAAACCCCTCAAAATAGACGAAATCACATATAGGGGAGTGAGGGAAAAGTTCGTCAAAGTATGCATCATGGTTGATCTCTCCTCCCCTCTCCCTCATCCCCCAAGGGGTGTGGATTAGGGCTAAAGGAGTTCCTTTCTTCTAGAACATGGACGGTGAAAACCTTCCTAGTTTTTCTCTTATGGAAGGATAGGTAATAAGGCATAGGGTTGTCTTTAGAAGCTGTGTCGATGCCCAAAATACATGAAGAACCAATGTCTAATTCTGGTAGGGTTTCGGCAAGCGGCCACAACACACAAGTGAGGGAGGGGAAGGAACATTAGTTGTACGGACCATTATCCATGGTCCTGTAAAAAGTAAACCCAGGTTGAAGGCGACTAATCCTAGTTCAACCAAGACCAAGGGGAACTAAACCCTTAGGGAGCATGACGAAGTCAAAATTTTATTGACAATGCTAGCTTTATGGATTTGGGCTTCTACAACCCTTGCTTTACTTGGTGCGATAATAAATTTTGTCAATAGTTGTTGGGTTTCTACTGTTATTGATCGGGTTCTCGCTAATAGTTGTTGGCTTTCTACCGTTATTGATGTTGCTGTTTTCCACGTACCTCATATAGCTTCAGATCATGCCCTTTTACTTATTAAAGTTACTTTTGAGTATGTTAGGAAGAGGGAAAAAAAAAAAGCTTTCTACTTTAAGCCCCACTGGTTTGAGTGCCCTAGTCTCACCTTCATTGTTCAAGATGACTGGCCACTTCAGGGTAGGATGGTTACACGGTTGATTTCTTTGTCCACTTCTGGGAGCTCCTTAAGTTTCCTATTGAATCGGCCTTTAGAGAATTACATAGATCGACTGTGATTCCTTAAAGTTGAGGGAAACTACTCTAATTTTTCATTCCTAAGAAGGATAGCCCTCTCTAAATCAATGACTTAGACAAATCAAACCTCTTTTAGGCAACCTCACCAATCAAGAGCAATATGCTCCTTTACAAAAGCATTTCTTGTCCCAAGCTGGTAAAGTAGCATTAATAAACTCTCTTTTTAACTCCATTCCCTGACATTCGATTGTTAGTTGTTGGATCACCAATAAATTTGCTAATGATATCTCCAAATATAGCAAATCTTTTTTTGGGGGTGATTCTTCTTCACATAGAAAGATCAGACTCCTCAGTTGGGATCATGTTACTGCCCCTAAAGATTCTGGTGGGCTGGGGGTCTGGGACATTAGCATAGTCAAGTATGTTGTCAATGCTAGGCGCATTCTTCCTATCCTCAACAACTCCAACTTCCTTTGGGCTAGAATCCTTATTGCCAAGTATGACATCCCTGACCCTTGGGCCTTGGACCGTAGAAAAATCTCTCAAATCTGGACAGGCATCAACAACACTATTTATTGTGTTAGAGAGAGTCTTAGGAGGGTAGTAGGAACTGGGCAACACATCAGATTATTGGATGACCCTTGGCTCTCCAACATACCCCAAGTAAATGGTCCACTTTCTTCAACTGTGATAGGGTTAATGACTTCAATTCTGTTGAAGATCTGTGTGTCAACAGAACTAGGAATATTCAGCTCCTGCTAGATATCTTTCATCTCATCTTGGTTGGCAAGATCACAAGTATCCACTTGGCCCTTGAGTCTGATGATGATAGTTGAGTTTGGAGTTCTCACCCTCAGGGTTTGCAATTTCTAAGAGCATATATATAGATAGTTGAGGGATAGACGAATTGATCATAGGAGGGGTTGGGATGGTTGGAACGTTGTGTATATTCTGAATGCTCTTCCTAGAGTTAAAAGTTTTCTTGTGAAAATTCCTTTGGGGAAGATTACCTATTTCTTTGTGTCTCTCAAATGTCATACAGTATTATGTGGATCAATATTGTGTTGGTAATGATGAGGTGGACTCGCTGAGCACAGTCTCTTTTCTTGCAACTTTGCTAGATCTATTGGGAACTGCTTCAAACAAAGCTGAGCTTCAATTTCTCTTGTATGGCAGAGTGGCTTAATAGAGATTGATGAAGGGAAGGGGAACAACAGGGTAGATCAACTTCTCCCCCTCACTGTTTCAATACAGATGCAATTCTCCAACTATTTTTCGTACAGATTCTGTTTCTAATTTGCTTTCTGATGCAGGTAGCGACAACTGCTTTACTGATGGGAGAGGTACCAATGTGAATGATTTAAGCTCCACCCACCAGCCTTCATCCGCTAATCAAGCTGAGTGCATTCAACCTCTTCGAGAGCGTTTTGCGATGGATCTTTTTCAAACCTGGATGTAATTGCAGAACCGGTTATTGCTTTGTGGATGGGAATGACACTATAATCACTCGAGGAAGCAGTACACATCAGGCCTCCACCCCACTCCAAGCGGAATGCTGAGCCATTTGGTACGCTCCCACCAAAGCTTCACAAATGACTTATCGTAATATCATTGTCAAATCTGACTCTTTAGAGACTCTGCTGATTTGTAATAAAGTTGGTCGACATGTATTTTTTGTCAACTCCAATCAGGCAAGATTTTTTTGTCTTCCTCCAATCAAGCAAGACTGCTACCGTTCCGGTTCTTACTTGAAAGTTGAATTTTCTTTTAACAAAATTCTTATTTTTCTTGTGCTTGACTAACTGCAGATACAAGACAAGGAACATATGGGCCGGGAGCCTCCTTTTTTCATAAGATGAAGGTGACATTTCTGACATTTTCTCCATATAAATCCAACCAGAGAAAGTTCCTCGACGAACAAAGCTGCCTAAGAGTTAGCTCCGTGTATGGTAAGCAATCCCAGACGCAAAAGTGAACCTAACATTTAATACATTCCATCATCATCCACAATTTTTCCAGGGGAAAAAAATTAAGCTCATAACATCCATAACGACAAAGGAAATTACATCGGTGCAGCCCAAGCAGTCACCATCTTCTAGCCAACAATACAAAGCACGCAACACCAGGGAGTGAGCCTGTGTCTGTGTGAATGTGTGTGTGTGTGTGTTGCAGGCAGCCACTGCCTCACGCACCTATACAGCACTGGAAGCAGCCCATAAACTTCTTCCTCCCCTGCACCACAAAGACAAGGCACGCAGTCAAAAAGAAAATTTCAAACCCGGAGAAGTAAACAAGACTTTTTGAGCAAGGAGAGTCAAACGATAGATTGAGTTGGCAGTCGTTGAATACAGTCGAAGTCTAAGCATTGGATCAAATATTCAAAATCCCATTTCGGAATATTAGAAGCTGACACAAAATTAGTGTAATGCAAACCCAAAGATCTCCATCTTTCAATCTTTGGCAGATTGATGAATCTGGATCCAACACACCATCATCAAAAAGTACTGCACAAAGCCCACCGTTATCAGATCACCGATCAAGCTGGTACATAAACCATTCCTCTGATCAACGGATCACTGTAGCCTTTCCCTGCTGCCTACTTGCAAAGGACCAAAGCGTGAACACGACGGCCAAAGGTCACGTCCAACCCGATGATCACATGTTTGGAAACGGCTGGCCAAACGCTTGATTTCTTTGTCGCATATAGTTTAAGCCTCTGAACCATATAATCGATACTGCAAGGCCCTAATTGGCGTAGGAATTGAAATCTCAGATTCCCCTCCCATGATTTCATATACTCTCAACAAAAAATCTCGACTTTGTACTCATTGCCACAATTATGTTATTGGGTCGATTTTTTTTGAAAAAAAAGAAAAAAAAGGGGAACAGGAATAAAAAATCATAAATACAAAGAAATTAAAGATGAGGGGGGGGGAGAGAGAGGGAGGAGAGATTAGAAGGGTACGGTGGGGGAGCCGCCGCGGTGGTGATGGATGGGGCGGCGTTGGTCGTGCTGGGGAAGACGGCGTTGAGCCTCCTGCTCCTCCTCCTTGTTGCCGCCGTCGGAGCGGAGCCTGTTGCTGGTGAGGAGCTCGTCGTCGTTGCCGAGGCTGGCGCGGGAGGGGTTCTTGTTCTGCTTCCGCATCTCCCGGATTTTGGTGAAGTCCATGGAGTAGTCGGGCACCCCGTTCTTCATGTCCCACTCCCCGAACGCTGGCACCGACATCCACCCACTGCCGCCGCTATCACTGCTATGGCTCTGCGAAATCCCCATCCACACACCTCTTTTTAGTATCTCGAGCGAACAAATCATGAAACCCTAAGATCCGAAAACAAAGAGGGCTGAGCAAGTCACCTCCTTGGAATCGCCCATGGCGGAGATTTCTACGCAGCTTCAGATGGGGCGGAGAAGAAGACCGCTAAAGAGGAATCACCGGTCGTTTCCAGCCCTGTACTTATAGTACCTGTTGGACGTAAAAAGGAGAAGGGAGATGGTCGTGATTCTGCTGGGTTTTCTCAGAAGATGTAGACGAGGACAGGGGAGTCCTCCGCCTGCGTCGCTGTCGTATGGAACAGCTGTCAAGGTGGCGTCTTCTTCACGGCAGTCTTCGTCTCGTCACGCCAACCCTCCGTGTGTGTTCGGGCCGGCGCCAGCGCTCACGGGAGGAACGCTTCTCATTGGGCACCAGTCGCTGCGCGCACCGACGACTCTGGTCCCCGATATGGCTGGCCTATTCCAAAGCATCCTCAGGTATGTTATATTCTTGCAAGTATTTCTTTTACTGCATTACATAATTATGCAAAGTTATTCTCTTCCTCCTCTGACCATTTTAAAGATGATAACTTAATAGAAATAATTCCTTTATTATTATTTTAGTCATATAAGTATAATAGAAGATATTTGATTTAAGAAAAGGGATATATTATTAGGTAGCAAATTATTATACTTGAAGGTCAGGTAGGGAGGTTAATGTGACTTTACGAAGGATCATATTCTCTCGATCTAATTCTTATATTGGGAAGGAATGTTTCGTCCGTTGTCACACAGAATATTTATTTATATTCCCCACAATAATACATCCATCCATGTGGTGGTTGGGAACACTCGACAAGATGAGTTCTTCTCACCATTAAAGACAAATAAATTAATAGGAAGAGGAATGTAGATCAATAATTTTTTCATGTACTATATTCTTCAACTATCGATAAGAATAAAAATAGAGGCACTCAAAATTAAATACTATTTGGTCATATTATTTTTTTTATCGAATTATAAAGTTTAATTTACTGTATATAAAGATAAAAATAATATTATTATTGAATTTTTGTGGTCATAGCAAGCCTAAGGAAAGTGGAACGAGGCCGGCCCAAGTTCAGATGGGCTTGAATTAATTCGAGATAAAGCTGGATTTCTATCACAGTCCATTTTGTGTTTGTGATAGGAAATACAAGTTGAGAAGATACTAATAATAATAATAATAATATTAAGACATAGGGTAGAGGTCATCATCGATGGTTTATGGAGACCGGTTAGCACGGTGGCAGAAAGGGATTTGGTATGTTTCTGCCGACGTGGCACGTGATTATTGGTGGCTTCTTCATGAATGATGGATTTTAGATTTACTGTTCGATTTTTTTTAATGCTTATTATTATTGGGTTATGGTTGGCGGAGGATGGAAACTCGTGGACGAAGCAAATCCAGGAGCTCTCTGCCTACACGTGGCTGGCCTGGAACGGCCGGCGATCACAGCACGACTCTTGAGGCACCCTCAAGCCCACACATTCGCTATCCGTGTTATCTCCGCCCGCTTAAACCCCCCCTCCTCACTCACTCCACAATAAAAAGAAATACAAATACCAAAATATATGCGTTTTCACTAATACCCTCGACTTCAGAAACAACCACCGAAATACCACCTCCCATCGCGCACTTTGGAACGCCTTATCTTGTCAGGAGATCGCGTGCCGTTCGTTCGATCATTTCTGGTCTTTCTGTGATTATGTGAAAGTTGGGTGGTATAGTTTCGAGTAATTCATAAATTAAAGGGGACAGAAAACAAAGAAATCGATCCGTTTCTATAAATGCGTCGTGCTCGAACCATCGGGCGGATGGGTGGTGGGTTTTTTCCCGGCGAAATCTCGCGGCGGAGAGCGCTCGAGGGATTCCTGGCTGCCCTCCGTCGAGGTCTTCTCCTGAATCCCTAGTTTTCTAACCCTAGCTTGCGGCCAGTTCGGTTCTTTTTGACGCCGGCAATGGATCTTTCGAGCAAGCTCCAGACCCTGGACCTCCGATCAGGATTCCTCTCTGGCTCGCCCCTTTTGGACGCTGGAAAGGCGAGAATCCTGCCGCGGGCTTGTCCCTCCTCGGTTTCTCCCGCTCTAAGTAGGCGAGTTGGCGTGTCATTTGTGAAAAAGACCGGCTTTACTAACCCTAGGATCAGAAAGCTTGGCGTTTCGGTCAGGGCCGCCGTGGATACGGCCATCGTGGATTCTGACACCACGGCCGACCTCGAATCCCTCTTCTCTGAGAGCGCCGTGGAGGACGCGTCGGCGAGGCAAGGAAGGAAGAGGTCGAGCACCGGGGCGTCGAGCGTCTCGTCGGGTGTTAGATTAGAGAACATCAGTAAAACCTTCAAAGGTGTGACCTTGCTAAAGGACGTCTCCTGGGAAGTGAAGAAAGGGGAGAAGGTTGGGTTGGTTGGCGTGAATGGCGCAGGCAAAACAACCCAGCTGAGGATAATTGCTGGATTGGAGGAACCTGACTCCGGGAATGTGGTCAAGGCAAAGGAGAACATGAAGATTGCGTTCTTGAGCCAGGAGTTTGAGGTTTGCCCAAGCAGGACAGTGAACGAGGAGTTCTTGAATGCTTTCAAGGAGGAGATGGAGATTGCAGAGAGGTTGGACAAGGTGCAAAGAGCATTGGAAAGTTCTGTAGAGGACCTAAGCTTGATGGGAAGGCTGCTGGATGAGTTGGACTTGCTTCAGAGAAGGGCACAAGATCTAGACCTAGACGAGGTGGATGTAAAAATTAGTAAGTTGATGCCTGAGCTTGGTTTTGCACCAGAAGATTCTGATCGGTTGGTAGCCTCATTCAGCAGCGGTTGGCAGATGAGAATGTCACTTGGGAAAATTATACTTCAGGTACATTTTAGTTGGCATTTATAAACACTCTAAGGAAGCTAATTGTTCTTGTTCTCTGATTCCTGATATGTTCATTTTGATCACTACAGAATAAAATGTTGAATCAATACCAGTTATTCATATTGTTGCATAGTTATTACATAAACTATTGGCATGAAGAGTGAAGATTGGTACTTGTCCTAAAAGAGATGTGTCTTACTTTTATGTCTATGGTTAAAAAAGAGTGGTTATAACAATAAGCAGTTAGATGGAGTCACTAGGAATAGATTCATTGACGACATAGATTTTGAATGGTTGGCTATATTTATGATCAGTTTGGAGAGTAAGATTATCAAATTTGGCAAAATCAGTGAATCAAATGTTACAAACCTTGTTTTCTTATTAAGTAGTTATCATTCTTTGCCTAAAAAACATCATTCAAATTATTGCAATTCCTTGACTCATCAGGGCTAGAATCTCTACGCATTTGTTTATTAACTACAAATTATGGTTATTGCAGGACCCTGACTTACTGCTTCTCGATGAGCCAACTAATCACCTTGATCTGGACACAATTGAGTGGCTGGAAGGCTATCTTAATAAGCAAGATGTGCCAATGGTTATTATATCACATGACAGAGCTTTCCTCGATCAATTGTGCACCAAAATTGTAGAAACTGATATGGGAGTGTCCAGGACATTTATGGGTAACTATTCTGAGTATGTGCTAGCAAAAGCAGCATGGGTGGAAGCCCAATATGCAGCATGGGAAAAGCAACAGAAGGAGATTGAGCATACAAAAGACTTAATAAACAGATTAGGAGCTGGAGTTAATGCTGGACGTGCATCCAGTGAAGAAAAGGTAACCACTGATCTTGTTCCGGGGAACATTTACACAAATCCTTGACCTTGTCCTCCCTCCAGAATATCTCCAAATCATAGAGGTGCTGCTAATGTTTCTAGAGTAATGATCATGCAACTTATAGTGGCTCGAGTAATAACTCCGTTATTCCATCTGATAACAAGAACATTCGATTTCAAAATTCACATTTTGGCTATTTTTCATGATAAAATGCACAAACAACCTAATTATTAATAATATAATACAAACAATACAATACAGATATGTTACCATACAGTAGGTTAACAGTCCTCAAGTAATGTGTTACAAATCCAGAAGGTCAAACATTGAAGTACTGAAGGCCTTGATTATATTGGATGACCTTTGTGGAATTTGACAGGTTCACTATGTTATTTGCTATAATTAGTACATATTGTGTCTGTAGTTTCTAGTATATTGAGGTTCAAACGATCTACATGATTTAGCTTTGGGTTACGTGTCATGTTTGTTTTTTGACTCTTTCTGACAATTACCACATTTTGATATCATGCCAGAAATTGGAGAAACTTCAAGGAGAAGGACAAGTTGAGAAGCCTTTTCAGAGAAAGCAGTTGAAAATTAGATTCCCTGAGCGCGGAAGAAGTGGGAGAACAGTCTTAACAATTAAGAATCTAAATTATGGATATGATGATAAGGTAAGTAATATTTCTTTAGCAACGTAAATATGGTGTTTAGCCATAAGGGCTTCCTTTCTTTCAGAAAGAAACAGAATTTACAGATCAGTAGATGTGCTCTGTGTGTGGTTTGGGAGATCATTCTTCTTATCCAGTAACTATATTTTTGGTTTAATGTAGCAGGTGTTGTTTAAAAGGGCAAATCTTTTAGTTGAGAGAGGTGAGAAAATAGCCATTATTGGGCCGAATGGATGCGGAAAGAGTACTTTGCTTAAACTAATTATGGGATTGGAGAAGCCTCAAGGGGGTGATGTTCTGCTTGGGGAGCATAATGTGTTGCCAAATTATTTTGAACAAAACCAGGTAGCTTACGGTCCATCTCTTCAGTTGCTCAGTGATGTGACTTACACTACAAAAGCTAGCATGATGTTGTTGGTTTCAGAAATAGAGAATAAATGCTTATAATTTTGCGACTTAGAGTAGCATTCTTCATCAATTATGTTCTGTTTCATGGCTACTGTTTCATGTTTGTTCGAAAATTAAAGGATGTGCATTATAGCCAACCAGGTCTTGGTAATTCCTTCTGGTCAATCGCTTTCTTTCTATAACAACTTCAAAGAGGTTGTTTAATTCACAATTCCTTAACAGGCAGAAGCACTTGATCTGGAGAAAACTGTGCTAGAAACAGTTGAAGAAGCTGCAGAGGATTGGAGAATTGATGATATAAAAGGTCTCCTTGGCCGTTGTAACTTCAAATCGGACATGCTTGATAGAAAGGTTTCTCTTTTGAGTGGTGGAGAAAAGGTAAAACCTGGTTGTAGTATTTTCTTACTCTCATATGTCATTTCAATCTTCCACTTTTTCTTTTTTTAATTCAGTGGAACTTTGCTTTATTTGTAAAAGAGAGGTAACTTGAATCATAACTAGATTGGTCTCAGTCATGTTTGCCAATTTATGTTATTTTCATGTTTGAATTGTTAGACTAAAGTCTACTGACCTCTATATTGTTCTTCTCTACAAATTACATTTTCTTGATAATATGATAGAGTAATATTCCCCAGTGCAACTACCACCAACAATAATTGAGTTTTTGAG